AGTCACACATGTTTTTCCGCCTTTCTTTTGAAAAAAGGACCATCATTTTTTGTGCGGTTTCCCGAATGTTGGGAATCAACGCAACCAGGCTCAAGGACACGGCATGTGTTGAAATTTAGGGATCCTCACCATCGGTGGGTTTCCCTTTGGTTTCCCTTTGAACCCACCCAAAAAGGCTACTGGGAGCCCTCTTCTGGTTGGAACTAAAAGGCGAAGCCAAAAGTACGGCTTACTCGGTTTGGGAGTCCCCCGAAAAACCGCGACACACAGCCGCTTGGAGTTTGTCTAGGTCCCCCAGTAGTGCCGTTCTCTCCCCTTTTTTTTTTGGTTGGGAGGGTTCCCCTACTAAAATCGACGAATCAGCAAAAAAAATCGGGCACTCTTCTAACCTCTCCAATCTGGAGGACCTAGACACGGTCAAGATCCACTGGTCAAAAAAAATCGGGCACCCTTCTAACCTCTCAAATCTGGAGGACCTAGACACGGTCAAGATCCACTGGTCAAAAAAAATCGGGCACCCTTCTAACCTCTCCAATCTGGAGGACCTCGTTGTTTTCATTCGTTTCTCCCGTGCTTTTTTTTGTTTCGGAGGACATCCTGCCGCCGCCCTTCAGGAAGATTGTGGGGGAGAAGAAGCTCAAGGCAGGTCCCAGCAAAGCGTTTTAGCAGAAGCCACCCGCAAAGCCGCCGGTCCGGGTGGCTCGCATTTTTTGAGGCGAAAGGTAGGCCTGTTGGATGGTGTAAAACAGGGAAGCCATCAGGAAACAAGCCAAAAGATGGGTTCGAAAAAAGACAGAGCTGTACCTTGTATGGTTCTTTCCTCTGACTTCTCCACCCTGATCGTTTCCCCTTACCGGGACTAGGTACAAATGGGTCTGCTTTGTTTTGAGGCTTGGTACCCATTTTGGATCGCAAAAGGAAGCCAAAATGAAACCACCCTCCAGTTTCGACTATAGCAGTTAGTTGTTTTGCTCGCCTCTAGGTATTTTTGTTTGTTTCCGCTTGCCTATGATAACTGGTTTCACGCTTCATTTCTGCGAAGTACTTGGTCGCCCATGTTGCTCAAAGTGCACCCCTCTTTGGCGCAGGCGGATTGCGGTGCAGGTGTGCCGGGCGAAACGGGCCAAAAGCAGTTGCGCTGACCATCTCTCCCTAGCCCAAGACCTCATTTTAGGCTTTTGGGGGGCCTTGACGCCCTATTGCGGGTCCAAGGGCCCCCAGGGGTCCGGCCGCCGATGAAATATGTTCACTCTACTTGCTGGCGCGAGAGATGTGATCGGGAATGAGAATTGGAACGACCCCAAGAAAAAAAACACATCCAACTGGTGGTTTCCTTTAAGGGGACCAATCCCCAGGTTCATTCCCACATTCCCTGCCTATCCCATCAGAAAGTTTCTGGCTACACTCCCTCAGAACAGCCGGAAGCCTCTGTAAATGGCTCACCAAGTAAATGGGTCACGACTCCCAGAGTTTATTCCCCAAGAAAAAAGCCATCCAACTGGTGGTTTCCTTTAGGGGGACAGGTTCGTTCCATGCGCCTCGAGGGCGCGGTTCCTTCCCGATAGCGGAAGCGTCAGGTGAGCGCCATCGACGCCAGCGCGGTGGCAAAGCGCACAGGAGACGGAGATCGTCGTGGGGGGATTCGTTGCGATGGAAATCGCCCAAAATGGCCTGAAACCTGGTAAACGGAAAGAAAGACGAAAACCTGCGGTTTGCCATAGGTCTTTTAATTGGGGTTGTGCTGCGATGGAAATGGCTGTGATGATTCTCCACTAAACCCATGGCCACCGGACTATTAATAATTGTGGTTGATTAATATGAGGCATAGGGTACCCCCAAAATGGCCTGCCCTGGAAAATGGAAAGAAAGACTCAAACCCGCGGTGCCAATCATGGTTGTTGTTGGGAAACATTTTGCATATTTGCTTATTGTGGTTTAGTGGTAATCCAAATCCACTTAGCTGCTAAAGTTTAAATTATTGCTCCCCTTCCAACGTCAACCACGTAATGCTGACCCCATATGAATCAACCCCAGTTTATAAATATGGGGGTGTTCCCCTCCAGAAGTGATGATTCCCCACTAAACCCAGAAATCCACCCCCCTATTCATAAACTGTGGTTGATTACTATGGGGTCAGCATCATGTGGGTATGGGTCAAACACAGGTTAACTCCAAAAATGGCTTGCCTCGGTAAATGGAAAGAAAAGGACTCACACCTGCGGTTTGCCGAAGGTTTTTAGTTTTGAGCCGCACCTAATTCATGTTGATGTTGGATTAAACCTGTCCTATTAATAGGGGAGAGGGGTCCCCTCCAAAAGTGGTAAACCCTACCCATTAAAAGAGGACACCCTGCTGTTGGTCGACCAGGGGTGTATTAGTCTGGGGTTCCCATGGCATTTGAGCAACGGTCAATGCCTACCAACATTTACAAAAAGGGGGGGTTCGCATGCGTCGCACTCACCAATCTTTCTTGAAAAAATGTGCGCTACTCACCAAAATCCCAAGACAACAAAGGCTCATCTCATGTGCAAGTCTTAAGTTCTTGGGCCTCCAACATGAAAGCCAGCGGGTTTGCCCTTTAAGAGGAAGCCTTCCATCTGAGAGCTTCCTTTGAGTCTCTTCCATGGGTCTGTTTTTTGGAGGAACAGATCAGATCGTTCGGTTTTTGTGATCGTTCGTTTTTTTTTTTTTTTTTTTTTTTTTTTTTTTTGTGGCGCGCCAACTGTGCCGCGCCAGGCATGGGCAAGCTGATCAACAACATCATGACCGCCGTCTTCTTTGAGCTTTCGGGGGTGCTCCCCACAGAGCAGGCGCTGAGCTTGCTGAAGGACGCGGTGAAGAAGACCTACAAGAACAAGGGCGAGGCCCGGGAAACCGGGAAACCGGTCGCTCGGTGCTGGGGGTCAGCGATGTAAAGTCAAGCGCAGATTAAGAGGTATTGGTTTTGGAGGTATGGATGCTCATAAGCTTGTTAGGCAGTATATACACCTTATATAAGTGAGTTTGTCTATATATATATATACGTATATATATATATATTGTGTAAACCTCCATAGCTCCAAACTACCCTTGAAAATCGGAGCCCCAAAATGGTGGTCTTTCCTTACTGGAGAACCCCTTACCAACCTCAAAAGGGAACTCGGGTTCATTGCCGGACTTGAACCTTTCGGCCCGAAATGCTCATTCCGTCAACAGCGGGGGTGTCTAAGTCTGGGCAAGGTTAGACCATGGAACTCGCCACCCTAAAAAACAACAGCAAGCACCCTTCTCCTTCGTTTTTGAAAAGAATGGGGGCTTGAGGGCAAGTGCAATTCTCTCGGTTTTACGCCATCAAACCTTTTGGGAAACCGAGCCTAGTCCTTGGCCGTTTGGCAGTTCAATTCATTTGATACTGTTTCTTTGCGGCAGGTTTATGGCTACACTCCCTCAGAACAGCCGGAAGCCTCTGCAAAGGGGTCAACAAGTGCTCTAAAGGGGTGGGAGCTTCCATGGAATTGTGTGGGGGGAGGGTATTTGGTAACGATCTTTGGACCTTAAAACTGGACCCACAAAAAGTAATTCACTTTTTGAAGAGGGGTCAACCGCAGCCAAGAGTTTGCCAGTTTTTAGACTCCCACGTCGGGGCCGGAAGGAATACAGACCCTGGCTCATTCGTATATATATATATATATATTTTGCTTGATTGCGAGCTCACCTGGCGGTAAAACGAGCTCACCGTGCAAAGATCCTTTACTTGGGGATGCCGTATTTCTGGCTTTGGACACAGTACACACAAAAACACCAACATGTGCAAACATATATATATATATATGCCATATATATATATATATATATATCCATATATATATATATATATATATATATACACATATCTATATATTTTTACATTTCCGTGAGGTCTCATTGCGAGCATCCGACAAAGGGAGACGCGCCGTTTCGCACCTCGGCTAGGCCATTGTCAACCAGAACATCAGCGCAGTGGAGGCCGCCCCTCTCCCGGCGGCCATGAGTTTTTTTGGCGGCCGGACATGTCGCAAGATGACCCAAGTGGCTAAGCCCAAAAGACTTTTTTGGAGAAGCTGAAATGGTCACGTGACCCAGATTGAAGCAAGCAGGTCACTAAGGAACGCCGACCCCATATGAATCAACCGCAAGTGAAGTAGAAGTAGATTGCTTGGAGGTGTTCCGGCGGTGGGAAAGCCCATTTAGCCTCCAGAACCAGAGGAGCACATCTAAATCTAACCCCAGATGAATCAACCAATTCCAGTCTTTGAAAGGGGGGAGTTTTCCCCGGGTGACATGTGATTGGAATCAGACCACTTTTGCAGGGGAACCCCATGAATCTACTTTTTGGTTGATGAATATGGGGTCGATATTACTTTGGTGCATTTTGCTTGGATGTCAGGACTGAAACTTTTTGCCAACTAGTGGGTTTTCCGTATTAAACCACTAAAAGTTAGTCACTTTTTGCAGGGGAGCAGAAAGCAACTGACATTACGCAGCGACCTACCATGGAATGATGATTCCCCTGAAATTGCCAACAAACCATGGTTTCCTTTTGGTTTCAAAGCGGTGCTGGATTTCGTCCCCCCAACAGTAGTGACCTCCTTGGGAGACTTCTTCCCCCCGCAGGCCGCCATCGCGGCGCTGCGCACCGTGCAGTACGACGCGGCCAAGTGGGCGGCGGTGAGCTGCGACGTGGAGGCCGTCTATGCGAAGGAGCGGAGCGGCGAGGCCCCCAAGTATGTCACGGAGATCCTGGACAAGGCCAGGGGTGCCAAGGGGCCATCTATTTTCCCAGTTGTTGTTGGGAAGCATTTTGCATTTTTGCTTGTGGTGGTTTAGTGGTTGAAATCCAAATCCACTTAACTGCTAAGATTTAAATTGTTGCTCTCCTTCCAACGTCAACCAAGTAATGCTGACCCCATGTTAATCAACCACAGTTTATGAATAGGGTGGTGGTCCCCTCCAAATTTGATGATTCCCCACCAAACCCAGGGACACCCCCCCCCTATTAATAAGCTGTGGTTGATTAATATGGGGTCAGCAGCATGTGGGTATGGGTCAAACATAGGGGAACCCCAAAATGGGCTGCTCTGGTATATGGAAACAAGGACTACAACCTGCTTTGCGGTGGCTTAATCTTGACCCATACTCATGTTGGTAAACCGCCAGGTTCCTTATCAAAACAACAATTGGAACGGGGAACTTCAAAGCCAACATCTTCCTCATGTTCACAGCAGAAGAATGTGAGAGCTGATTTGGCCGGGTGTGTCTGTTTTTAGGGGACGGCTTTCCTCCGAATGGAGAGGCGCCGAATTCGGTCCGGGGAGAGTTGTCGAAGAAGTCGTGCCTTTTCCCCAAGCGCATTGGAACGAGTTCTGCATGTTTAAAGGGATAGGCTTTTGGCATTGCTCTTGAAAATGGTCATTCCGCTGGGTTTAAGCATGTTCTGAGCCTGGTGGGTTTTAAGGAGAGGCTAAAAGGAAGCCACCGTTTGGATGTGGGAGGGGGTCCAAGTCCTGAACAACGACACGCCCATGTGGAGAGGCAACCAAAACAGTTGGCCCCCCTTTGGTTTCCCTTTAAACCAACCACCCCCAACCCGGGCAACCTCAAACAAACAGGAGCTGCCCAAATTGGGATTTGGGCGAGGGCCGTTTTTCTCTTCTCGTTTCTATTTGTATGGGTTTTCGTTGTTGGGGTGCTGGGTGCTCCTTGTTTTCCGCTGTTCCGTCTCGGCTCTGCTTATGCTCGCGATCGCCGCTTGCTGGGTGCCTCGGTGCTCCTCGGCCGGGTGCTTCTCGGCCGGGGCCGGTTCGCGAGGTGCAGACCATGCGGGGCCACGAGCTGAAGGTCTCAGACCTGGAGGCGGACGGCTGCGTGCCGCTGAGCCAGACCAAGTTCGCGAAGCGCGGCGTGGCGGAGGCGGTGCCGGTGGTGGACATGGACCGCTGCGGGGCGGAAGGGTCGGGGGCCGCGGGCTTGGGGCGGTGGAAGTTGGTTGGTAAAGGGGGGGGGATGGTGGTCGGGGATTGGAGGCCTTTTTTTTTTGTTTCAACAGTTTTGTTTGTTTGTTTTTTCATTTGGGTTGTGGGGGGAGGTTTGGGTTTTGGGGAGGTTTGAGGGGGAGGTTGCAGGATGGGAACGGACAGAGATGCTTTGTGTTTGTGGAACGTCGTCCTTTGTTTTTGGGTGCTTGTTTCCGCACTTCTTCTCTTTCACGTCGACCAATCTCTCTTTCACCCTCTTCCTTCCTTCCTTCCTTCCTTCCTTCCTTCCTTCCTTCCTTCTTTCTGCCTGCCTGCCTGCCTGCCTGCCTGCCTGTCCGTCTGTCGTTTGGTGAGTCAGTCTGTTTTTTTGGTACCTCGTTCGCCTTCCCCACGTGCCGCCTCTCTCCCCTTTGGTGCATTTTGCTTGGATGTCATGTAGGACTTTAACTTTTTGCCAACTACTGTGTTTTCCATTAAACCACTACAAGTTAAACGTTTAGCAGGGGAGCAGAAAGCACACGAGTTTCTCTCTTTGCAGGACAAGTGCATCCAGTGCAACGTCTGCAGTGCCATTTGTCCGCACGCGGTGATCCGGCCCTTCTTGCTGTCCCACGCGGAACTCAAGCAGGCTCGGGAGAAGTATCAGCCGGCTCGCGCCCGGCAACAGGTCTGGTCGCGTTCAGAGCAACTAGATCCGACAAAGGGCCCTTTAAAAGACGACAAAGGGAGGTTGTTTAAGGAAAGTTGGCCCAACCCTGCTCAAGAGACCGGAAACTTCAAGGATGACCACACCTTTGAGTAGACGTTTGTGGGCGTTCCTTTGGTATCCCAAAACTCAGGGAATATTTTTCTACGGGCCTCTAAACGGGGGCAAGAGTTGTTAAACAAAGCGATCCGCAAAGAAATCGCCCTGGTGCATGGTGACTTCACGAAGGTTTGCGACCTCGGGCCTGATTTTCCTACTTGTTACTGCGACTTGTCATCTCGAAAACTGGTGAACTCCGCAGCGAATCAGTGGTTAGAACGCATACTCAACCATGTTGTAAACCCAATCCTGTCTTAAACCCGGAGTAGTCGGACACGTGGGTGTGCTTCAACGTGTTCCACGCCACCGGGGACCCACGGCAAAAAACCTCCGCCCCCCGCTGCGCCGCTGCGCTAGGCGCCGGAGTCCTTCGAGGCGCGGAAGGCCACGGGGGGCAACACCTACGCGGGGCTCCACTTCCGCATCCAGGCGCGCCACGGGTGGTTTGTTCGTCAAAGCCGTTTGGGGATCCCATTTTGGTAGGTGAATTCACCACCCATGTCGGGCTTTATTTTAGTGCGGATTGAACCGGAGGTTCACTGGGGGTACGATTCGGGTTTTGACCCGCCATCCGGTTCAACTCCTCGAGGTCGGAGTTGGTTCGGTGTCCATTGAGCCGTTGAGAACTTTTTGGGATCTGAGGTTCCCACAGCCCAGTTTTATTCTTGCGAGTCGAGATGCGAGAGCTATGGAATCAGAGAGCTATGGAATGACCTGAAGGACACATTTTTTGGGCGATTTCTTCCTCAGGAATCTCTTTCTTTTTTGGTTCATTCCCACATTCCATACCGCGCACCATCATTTTTTTTCTCCCCACAGCGGCGGGACCACTTTTCCGCCTTTTCTCCTGGCCGTTTGTACCCCGCAGCTTTGTGAGGTTCCGACTCTGGAAGCCTCCTCTTGAACCCTCCCTCGCCGAAACACCAGAGCGCTTTTGGCCCGAGACCGACCCCAAATCGCTTTTTGGGGAATTAAACAAAGAGGGCCATGGGTGGCGCTTGGTTTTATGGAACACTTAGACTTTTTTCGTGATTGGCCAACTGCCCAATCTTGGAGGTCTCGGAGGAACTTGCACGGGTCCACCCAGTCCCCCGAAACAAAAAACCCACGTTGCCCAAGCTAGAAAAAAAGAAAAAGAAAAAGAAGAAGACCCATTGAGGTGCCAAACCCAGCAACTCTCAAACTAGTGCGGACAAACAAGTCTCTTCTGATTTCCCGGATTTACATGAACCCCCCAACCGGAGAACTCCTTTGGCCGTTTGGTGGGACAAAGGCCTCGGTAACGTCACAAAGCCAGGCCTCGCCCAACGACTGCACGGGCTGTGAGGCGAGGAAGAGTATGGATCGATCGGAGCATGAGGTTTTGGTTTTATTTTGATTGTTAGACCCATGGGTTGGTTTAGGGGCTGGTTTGCTGTTGATTGTTAGACCAGGTTGGGGTTGGTTTAGGCTTGGCTTGTGGTTGGTTTCCCTTTGGACACCTCGATGAAACCGCTTGATGGGAGGCAGCTCGTTTTGGGTGAGGAATCCCTAGATCCGCCAGGGCTCAGTCCCGGAATGTCTGGCTGGCGAGGGCTTTGAGCGAGCAAATGAGGGCTGCTATAATTGGCCGTACGGCATAAAATGAAAGTTTTCGAGAGGGCCTCCATCCAATGGTGGGCCTCCCCCTTTCTTTTTGAATGTGTGAGGAAAGGCCCATATTTGCATGAAATAGGTGGTTCGGCAAGTTGCGTGATCCATCTTTTTCTCCTGCGTCACGGCTGAAAGCTATGGCGTCTCTGCCTAGGTTGGCTCCGGAGTGGTTCGGAGGGGTTCCGGGAGGGTGCAACGGGGGTTTCTGTTGGGGATACCACCTGGGCTGGTTTGGGGGTTGATCAACATTCCTGGCCCCCAAATGAGCATGGGTAAGTTTTCCCATTTAATGTGACATCTCCTAAAAATGGTCATCCCATGTAAAGGACCTTTTGACCAACCCCCCAGTTGACCTCTTTTTTTAAAATCAACCCCAAGTTCTTGGCCTCTTGCCAAGTTTTTTTTCCTCTCCTCAGAACCGGGGTGTTGGGTCACGCAAACAGGTGTGCACCAACGCCTGCCCCGTGGGGGCCTTGTCCATGCTGCCGCGCGTGGAGTCCTTGCATCTCGTCCCAGTCGCCCCGAGAGGTCAGACGTTTGGGTCCCAAGGGGGGGGGGCACGAGCTCGCCGTGAGGCTCGGTCCTCCATTTTTGTTTTTTTTTCAATCAGAACGCTAGTTGGAGCAAGTAGAGGACTTACGAGGACTTACGAGGACGTACCTAGTATGCAGGTTTATCCTAGTACAAGATCCCAAAACTTACGAGTCTACTTGTTGGAGCTTCTTCTAGAATTTGCAGATTGTTGTTGGACGGCGAAAGATCGTCATGGGAGTCAACCTACGGTGGTATCACGGAAAGGGATGATTTCCACAGCCGTGACCCAAGGTTTACCACAAAGATGCCCGACCACCAAGGATAGAATAATTGTAAGACACCAGCGGTAAACTCTACAACAAGTCATTGTTTTTGGTAGGTGCTTGACCAATCTCCAAAAGAAGTGCCTGGTTCACTGGTTTCTATGAACATTGGACTGGTTTCTGTTGGTTCCCTTGAGGGACCCCATATCTAGGTCGGCAGCCAGCCTAAACGACATATTTGTGCCCTCAACACATCAGATGATTTGGGGTCCCAATTCTTTGGTGACTTGGAAGATGTCCATGTCCTGAGGACAGGCACTAGCTGGATGAAGCTTTGTGAATTTTGGTCCAAGTACCTTCCGGCCACTAACGCCATGGAACCCACCAGAGAAATGGCCCCTTAGAAGAAGAAATCATCTTCTAACCCAAACCCAGGACGAAGGGCCACGGTGCCAACTGGGACTACGCCCTGAGCGTGCCCAACCGCGGCCAGCGCTTTGACGCGAACACCCTCAAGGGCTCCCAGTTCCAGGCAGGAGCAAGTTCTTCCCAGGTTTCAGTTGTTTTCTGCTGAGTTGTTAATTCAGGGGGTTGTCTTCTTGCAAGATTGACCAAATTGATGGCGACCGCTTTGACCTTGCAGCTCGACCAAAGTCACCTTCCCATAGCTTGCCTAGCTGTAGCAGTGAGATGACAGAGTTGCTCGCTAAGGCTTGGGGAACCAAGGCGTTGGGACGAACCCAAAGGGGTGGCAACCACTGGGATCTTGGTCGAAGATCAGCTTAGATTGGTTCCGCAGTTTCAGGCGCGCACATACTCGCACACAAGGGATCAAGGACAAGCGATGCATTCAGCGGTAGAGACGAAAAAACGACACGTAGCCTTTCACGCTGGCGAGAAACAACACCTATGGCAAATGAAGCACCTGTTGCATCGCAGTTAAGCCATTCAACCCTTTTTCGGCGCAACCAAAAGCCACATGTAACCTTGTAGGGTGGCTATATACATCAAAAACAACATTACCTGCGGTTTTCCAACACCTTCTATTGTAGGGTGGCTATATACATCTATACACACCAAACCTGGTGGTTTTTCCGCCCTGGATTATTCAACCCATCCATCTCCACCACAGGAGCCACTTCTGGAGTTCTCAGGGGCCTGCGAGGGCTGCGGGGAGACGCCCTATGCAGCTCGCTCCGAGCGACTGGTGGTTGGACTGGGGCTTTGTTTGTTGGAAGGCTTCGCCTGCACTTGGGAAGTGTCGGTGTGTCCTTTTGGGGCCCCTGGTGGTTTGGAAGTGATGGTTTCGATGTCCTTTTTTCTTTTCTCAATAGAAAAAGAAAGCCTTCAAATACGCGTCGTTCCTTGGCTTCCTTGACAAAATGCACATCCAAAGATGCAGGGGGGGTAAGCTCCTTTCTCCAAACTATGAGGGGAAGTGTTGAGCTCTGTGCAAGGTCATCTCAGTCTGAGGGGATGTGGGTTTATGCCCTTATGACCAATCCAACAGACCTCAAAGGCACTCGCGAATTTTTCCAACTCAAGAAATCAGGTGTGTCTTAAAATATGGACCCCCCCCCAAAAAAAAAAGAAGAAAAAGAAGAAGAAGAAGAAGAAGAAGAAGAAGAAGAAGAGCTTGGTTTCCTTCTAAAGCATCCCCAAAAAGGGTACCGAGCCTCAAAAAGAAAGACCCAAATGAACGTTGAAAAGACCGGAATCTTTTGGCACTAATCGAACGCATGAACACAGCTGTTTGGCAATGAAACAAGAATTCCTTGTGGCACCGAATGGCACCCAAAGAGAAACCAGACGCCTTTTTTCCTCTCCCAGAAACAGCTTTTTAGTTTTTTTTAGTGGTTGGGTTTCCGAATTTGACCCACTAAAGTTAGTCGCCCTTTTCGCCCGCCTGAGACAACTTTTGGCCGGAGTTGGGAGTGGACCCATCCAAAGGGGGTCACGACTCGTTCCGCCTGGGGCCGATGGTCTGCCAAACTTGCCAAAAAGAAGAACCCCCGCAAGACCAGAAATCCGTCCGCTCGCTTTTGCATTCCATGTACCAAAGAAAGCAAACCTTTCCATTTTTTCTCCCATCCCAAGAAACTCCTCGAACCGAACCACTCCCCTTCGCCTTTTGCCTTTCGCCTTTGCCCCCCCATTTTGCGGAGCCAACCGACGAAACTGGCCCCAAAAGCCCCAAACGGGTGGTTGGCTCAATTCGCCATCTCCCGAAACTGGCCCGCAAGCCAAATCTCCAACTCGGCGGGCTGGGTTTCCGAATATAACCCACAAGTTCGCACTTTTAGCAGCGGATCTGAAAACGGACAGCCCAGTTTAGTGGTAGTTTCCCCACCCAAAGTTAAACACCTTTAGCAGTCGAGTTCGCCAGAAGTGATTAGTGGGGATCCCTGCCATCCTGTGAGTTGTTTTTTCCCGCTTTTTCTAGTTTAGTGGTGTTTCTTTTTTTTCCCCCCCGAATTTAACCCACCAAACGGGGGTCGACGCTTTTTCGGGGAGCTTCTTAGGCCAAGCTGGTGACCCAGATGTTCGGCAAGCGTCTCATCGTGGCCAATGCCACGGGGTGCTCGTCGATTTGGGGCGGCACCGCTGGGTGGGTGCCGTATGCCACAGACTCGAAGACTGGGAAGGGCACTGCTTGGGGCAACTCGCTCTTCGAGGCCGGCCTCGCGGATGTGGGGGGGGAGGGGCTCCATCATGGGGGTTGTTGGTGCTGAAGATGTCGACCAGAACAAAGGCAACCCTGGCTTCAACAATGGGGGGGGAGGGGAGGGTCAAGCTGTTTCCCTCCAAAAAATACGAGAAAAGTTAGGGTAAAGGAGCTCAAGGAGCGGACGGATTTTTGTATGGGGGTGCGAACATCGTCGCGGTTTCCTTGTGGTCTCGCTTCAAAATCCACCTGCAAAGGGCAGCCTGAAAAGAACACGCACCCTAGTATGTGCTGTGTGGGCTGTGTGGTGCATGCACAGGCACACACACACACACACCCCACACATGAAGTAGGGGGGATGATTGGTGAATGCTATGTAATCATATTCTACATAGCTTTTAGGTGTGGGATGCACCCTATTTGTTTCAACTGGCGATTAAACGGCCCGACCCGTTTGTTTTTTGGCCAGGACAATGCGGAGTACGGCTTGGGCCAGGCGCGAGCGAGCTTTGGACATGTCGAGCGCCAGGTTGCTCAATCTGTAAAGAGACAACTTTTCTCTGGCTCCGAATCAGTAGATCTTCAAGATACTAAAGATTGTAATGTTTGCAAAGAGGTTGAACATCGGCACAGGGGGCTCACTGATTTCCCATACGAACACCAGACTCGTTTGAGGGCTCCTTCGCTTACGGGACTCCTGGAACATCTCCCCGGAAGTTTCGGAGGCGTGGCCCAAGTGCCAACTTGTGCTCGCCATAGGTGTCCTTTTTGGTGGTTTTGGTCGAAAAGTCTCGGGCGATTCCTGGTTTACCTGGTGGTTTAGTCGTCTACCAGGGAAACCCATCAATTTGCCCCAAAAGGACGGAGCCTACGGTGCTCGCGCGAAGATTCCTTCGGTCTTGGGGTCCGCGGTGGGCGGTTTCGGGGTCGAAGAGATGCCCCATTTTGCTCCCGGGAAGCCGCGAGATTTGGGCGGGCCACTGGTCTCTTTCTCCCCGAATGTTGCCAAGAAACGGTGTGAGCGGGCCGAATCCTCTATTCTAAGATGACCAGAAGAAGCCATGTATCCTCAAGACCCCCCAAGACTTGGTGGTTCCCAGCCATCCCTTACTTCCTCTTTTGCTTTTTTAGGGCGTAGCGGGGATTTCCATGTGACCCACTTAAAGTTATACTTCTTGAGCGGGGGGATCTCAGGGCGGCCCACCAAACGAGCGCGAGGTCATGAGCGTGAAGCAGCGCCGGCGCTTGCTGCGTGACCGGGTGGAGGCTGCCCTGGCGCGCGCGGGCAAGGTGATGAGCATCGCGCTGAGGCGGGAGGGAGGTGTGTCGCTTCCGGCGGCCTTACAAAAACCATCAGAGCCACAATCAAAACCCGGGTAGATGAGGGTTAGTATGGGGCAGTCCCAGCCAGAAATAGTTGCGGCCGCCCTCTTAAGTCTTTACATGGTTCTGGGTAGACCATTTTAGTACCGGGTTTTGATTGTGACTCATCAGGCGCTCACTTCCTGAGTTCCGTTTCGGACTCAAGTCACTTTCTGTTCCCAGTTGCCCAGTGGTGCTCTTTCCTTTCTTTTTTTGGGGGTGAAACAACTCCCCTGAGAAAAGTCCACCAAGACCAGATGCCGACCGGGCATCTGAGTTTTCTTGCGGCCGCCGGGAGCTCAAGGGGCGATTCAATTCAATTCGCGGGGATTCCCGATTCGTGGAATCAGGGAAAGACCGGAAAACAAATCCGTGCGCAAAGAGCTCGCGGGGCGCACAAAGGCAGTTGTTCTGTTTGGTTTTAAAGAGCTGCTTGGAGGTTTTCCCCTTCAAAGGGTGAAAGGGTATGGGACAAGAGATGCAAAGTATGATTCGGAATGGTATATGGGTTTGTCTCAAAACAGGGGACCCCCCCAAGCAACAAGTGGGTGGGTTCCTTTTGGTTTCCGTTTTTGCAAAAAGGGATGCCCACAAAGACAGACAGGTTTTTCACAATGGTGGACCCTTCTTGGAGAGTTCTAAAGGGAAGCCAAAAGGAAACAAGCGATCAACTGCGTCCCCAATCTATTCGCGAATGAAGAACTGGGAGGGGGGGTAGGGAGGGCAGGGAGGGGAGGGAGGGGAAGGGAGGAGGGGAAGGGAGGAGGGGAGGGGAGGGGAGGGGGAGCGGAGGGGAGGGAGGAGGGAGGGAGGGGAGGGAGGGAGGGAGGAGGGGGAGGGGGAGGGGAGGGAGGGGGAGGGAGGAGGGAGAGGAGGGAGGGAGGGAGGGGAGGGAGGGGAGGGAGGGGAGGGAGGGGAGGGAGGGGAGGGAGGGGGGGGGGGAGGGGAGGGAGGGGAGGGAGGGGAGGGAGGGGAGGGAGGGGAGGGAGGGGAGGGGAGGGAGGGGAGAGAGGGAGAGAGGGGAGAGAGTGGAGGGGAAGGGAGAGACAAGGGTTGGCTTCCATTTTGTTAAGTTGTTTTTTGTTGGTTTTACAGGGAATCTATCACTACTGGAAAATACTTCTATCTTTTCCAGGGGACTTAAACAAATGGAGGTTGGGGATTGGAGATCTTGAGCTGCCAGGAGTTTGCTGGAGCAGTGGCTGGAGTTCGGAGAGGACTCAACACCTGGTTTCAGCATGTTTTGAACCGCCATGGGGTCAAAGGTGTTTTTGCACCCCAGGGCGCAGGGTCAGGCCAACCTGCTAAATTCCGATTGCTTGGAAACCAGCACCTGGTTTTCGGACGGCATCACAGGTTCCGGAACTCAGTGGGGTGTCTTTTTTTGAGGGCACTCCTGCTTTGGTGGTTTTGAAGGGAAACCAAGAGGAGAAACCAGAAACTGCTGTTGATTCTTTCTTTCTTCTTTTTTTTGGGGGGGCAATTCCGAAAAAAAAAAAGACACACTTCAGTGCAGGTTCTTTGCCCCTCCTTTCGGTGTCCCGCGCCAAAAACGGCCCCGGTGTTTTTTGTCTTCTCTCTCTTTTTTTTTCTTTTTCTCCCCCGCCGGAGGACGGGGTGATCTCGGAGCGGCTGAGCGACGAGCTGCAGCCGCTGCTGGAGGCGGAGAAGGGAAAGGCCAAGGACGGCAAAGGGTGGCTGGGGGTTTGGTTTTGGGCCTTTCCGGCAGGTGGTTCAATCAGCCATTTTGCTTCCAGGCAGGGGTTTTAGATCTTTTTCGTTGGTTTAGTGATTGGGTTTAATTTATATATCCCAGCAACCGTTAGTCACTTTTAGCAGGACGGCCAAGTTTCCTACCTTTTTTGGCTGGGTGGATGAGTGGGTGGTGGGTACTAATTTTGACGGTGGCCCATGATGTTAGAGAAGAAAAACCGCCCTTGAGCACCCGGTTAAGTGTTGCTTTTCGGCAACAAGTTGCCCAGAAATGAGCAGTAAGAGCTGGCGCAACGGCACCAGTAAACTTCCCCAGAATTAGCTCCCCTTTTCCCTTTTTTGCCTTTTTGGGGTCCCCTTTGTTTTCCACTAACCAGGCAAAACAGACATATATACATATATATTTTTGCTGGGCCCCGGAAAATTCCAGCCTAGTAAAAGGGCAGAACACGAGACTAAGACTGTCGGCCCAATGGCTTGCCTTCGTTGGGTGGGACACCAACAGGACACCAAGGCATTCTTATTCTCAGTTGCCCAAAGCGAATCGACCGAATCTGACCTTTTGGTTTTTCCTTTTTGGTCTAGTTTTAGTCATGGCCCCAAAAGGTTAACCTTTTATTTCTGGGTCCCTTGGGCAAGTGAGTATTATGTTCACCTTCCCCAAAATACGAAGACGGGCAGCGGACAGGCGCGGGCGACCAAATCCACTTTGCACCAGTTGGTAGGTCTATCAACCAGTACCCATAGGGTTTCCTCCAGAACTGGTGCGAAGTGGCTTCACTGTTGTTGCCCTATTTGTTTTTCTTTTCTTTCTTCTTTTCTTTTGTTTCTCAGGGTTTCTGGTTCTATTTCTCATTTTTTTTAGTAGGGTCTGCAAGAAGCAGTGAGTTTTTGGCAAGCCCCCAGCGCAGCTGTCGGAAAGGGAATTGGTCCACCGCAGGAGATCGCCGAGATGGTGCGTCTGCGGCTCGACGGGAGACCGCAAGAACTCTCTCTACAAATGGGTTCCATAAAACAGGAATGTGGCCATGGGCTTTTCAAAGTCCAAATCGTACCCCCAGTGAACATCCCAATCCAACCACTAAAATAGACTTAAATGGGCGGTGCACCTATCTCAAACCATTGGTTTTGACCCACAGCCATGTAGCAACCTATGTCACATTCAAGAAGTTTGAAGGAACCCAAACAGGTTTGTTAGCCAACATTAGTTCCTGATCCAAAAAGAGAAGCGTTGTTTGGGTTCTATTTCTGTCGGGAAGTTTTTGGCTTGGGTTTAAATTTGGGAAAGAGAAGACCATCCGGAATCTTCTGACGATTGTAGCCAACATCTTGGAAGGGGCTCTCAAATCACTTTTTGAGGGCGGGATTGTAAGACCTGTTCCTTGAGAGTTGCCCCACTTTAACCAGGGTTCCGTATAGTTTTCCCTTGAAGGCTGGCTTTAAACATCAGCTGTTGCTTGCCAATTTTCTTGGCGAGTTTCCTTTGGGTGGGTGTTCAAAGGGGAAATTAACAGGGGAGACATAGGTGTCGAGTCCTTGTCAGGTTTGGTTAGACACAGTTGGGCTCCACTTGTTTAGATTGCTGTTATTCCGCTGGTTTGGATAGGTGTTCCATCCAGGGACATCCAAACCGTTTTTTCCCTCCAGAAGGAGCTATGGCAAGGGAGGCTCACTTCCTGAGTTCATGGACTTTAAACTTTTTGGGAAGGCCATTTTGGTGGTAAACAAACGGTTTGGACTTTTTTTGGCCAATCAACTCAGCAAGTGAGGAGGCCTTTGTGCGCCAAAAAAAATCGGTTCCAGGAAAGACTTGTTCACGAAGCCCTCCATGTGGATGTTCGGCGGGGACGGCTGGGCCAACGACATCGGCTACGGCGGCATCGACCACGCCATCGCCAGCGGCAACAACGTGAAGATCGTCGTGCTGGACACTGAGGTCGGCCAGGGAAGGGCCTTCCAGTGGCCTTCCAGTGGTCTGTGAGAGACTCCGAAATGGGTCGAAGTCGAAACGGGGGGTCCTTGCATCAAACAAGGACAAATGCGAAGGAGTTGGGCGGGCCCTGTTTGCGGGTTACAGCCTGAAACTGAAGAGGGACCTTCCCGAAAAGCAGGATGCTTCTATTTCTGGGGGGGTTCGACTAATTCAGAGAGGTCCCCCCCAAACTACTGCTTGCCTCAACACTCCAAGGTTCAGGGGTTTTGAAACTAACCCCACAGGTTTCACCAAACGCCCCCTGAAAAACCTCCCAAGTTCCTTACCTCCTCATTCCCCCACCCCATGGGTCGAGTAGACTTGGGTCAAGTTCACCAAAGAACACCAAAACGACCCCAAAGCGCGAGAGGTGGGTATGAATTTTAACTGGGTTTTTGGACATGCACATTCGGGGATTTATGTCCAGCAACTGTAGGGGAACCCTCCAAAATGGATTTCGGTTTTCCTTTTGTTCCCCTTCAAACCCACCCCCAAAAACGTGGCGACCGTGTTCCAAAACGGGGACCTTCCGCCTCAAAACCTTAAAACACCAGGGTGACCTGACAGGAAAATCTCCCGTGTTGCAAATCTTCCACCCCTTGACAAAAAAACACAGAAAACCTAACCCCTTCAAAACAGAACCGGAAACAATGAAGAAGAACAAAACAAAAAACGGCCTCTTCTTCTTTTCGCCTCTTTGCTCGCTGGAGGTCTACAGCAACACGGGGGGCCAGAGCTCCAAGAGCACGCCCATGGGCGCCGTGGCCAAGTTCGCCCAGGCGGGCCGGGACCAGCGGAAGAAGGACCTCGGCGCCATGGCCATGGCCTACCAGCGCCTCGATCGAGCGGTTGAAGCGCAAGCATGGAGGTTTCATGGAGGTTTCGTGAGGCCAAGCGGAAAAACACGAAGACACATGGGGCCAAGAAAAGGGGGACCTGTTTCCCCCCCCCCCAAGAAAAATAAGAGAGAAGAGCTGTTCGAAGACATGTGGCGAAAAGAAAGATGAGCCAGCAGGAATTGGTTGACTTGCTGGTGCGAAATCGGTAGGGAATGAGAAATGGATTGGACCGTTTTGGGGTTCCCCTTAAAGGAAACCAGACGGGGCCCCAGTTCATTCATAGGTTTTGGCCGCTCCAAAGTGGGCTGATTCCAGAGATGGAAGCACCCAGTGAATTCAATGAACAATTGGTTGACAAAGGTGATCGCGGCGAACTCGCTAGGGAATGAGACATGGACTCATGGGGGGGAGGGAGCCCAAGTAAGCCTTATTAAGCCCTTAAGGCGCTCATTTGGGGCTTATTTGGGCTCCCCCCGCTCAGTAGACCCAATTGGTCCCCGGAAAGGAGACATTGGACGGTTTTGCTTGGTTCCAATTCTCATTCCCTGATTCCCGATCGCATCCTGGCACGAACGCAAGAGCATGTGGCAAAAAGCCGGCGACCCCAGAAGTCGCGACCCCAAAAATTGCCACAACACGTGCAACCCAAAAAGTGACGCACGCCCGAAACGGAACTCAGGAAGTGAGTTCCAAGGGGTGCATCAAGGGCCCAAAAGGTCAAAGCTGCTTACCAGTACCAACTTCTGGAAAAAGTAACCTAGAGCCATTTTCCTTTTTGGAACCTCCAACAGTGGCGATCGTTTCGATGGACACCGCCAGTAAATTGAATCAACTTTCGAAGGGAAACTCCAGTGAGCCCTGAACAAAAGGGGAGCCACATGACAAAAGGCGGGGGGCAATCCTTTCTTATTTTTTTCTGGCCAAGCCATAGGTGGTTGGCATGCTCTTTGAAGAAACCAAAAGGAAGCCCACCTGGCTCCACACTTCATGTGCGACCGATGGTTTCAACAGGTTTTGGGTCCCCTACTTCAGGTATGTCTCGGTGACCTCTTTTGTTAGCATGCCGGGCTTTCCTTCTGGCCTTAAACTGAACCCAGGCTTCCGGTTTCTTCGCTTGGTGGTTCCCAGCCATCCGGTTCCTTAGCTGGTCGTAGCTTTTCAGTGGGTTCAGTGGACATTTCGGAAAATTTAAAAGCACTAAAAGTCAGTTAATTTTTTAGCAGGGGATCTGAAACTGGACAGCCCAGATCACAAGAGGTGACTCGTCCAAGCAGACCTTTCAACCGGAGTTGCCGGCATTCCACTTATAGGGGCGATCGGGTACGTCAGGTAAGTAGTTAGTAAGCCCGGTTGTAACCCACTGAACGGAGACATTTTCTTCCTTTTCTTTTGAACCATGGCTGGTAAGTGGGTTCTCTCACCAACATTTACCTGACGTACCAGCTGCCCCTTTCAGTGGCACGCCTCCGGTTTTCCTTAGGGCGACCTGTCTCCGAACCCGTTTTTGCCCCAAGGCCCCGGCGTTGTTCGTAACCCCCACCGGCGCTTCGATCGCGCGTAGCGCATAACTCGAGGCTGTAGGTGTCCTTTTTAGGTTAGCTTGATTAAACATAGATGGCCCTGGTTTAGATGGGGGAACCCTAAACTCTAAACCCTAAACCCTAAACCCTAAACCCCAAACCCCAAGTTCCATTTGCCCCAGGAAAAAAAAACAACAACAACAACAAACCGATCTTTTTTTCTCCCCTCTCCGCCCCCGAGCGAGGCACGTCTACGTGGCCTCCTGCGCCATCGGGGCCAACTACAAGCAGACCGTGGAGGCCTTCAAGGAGGCGGAGAACTACGAGGGGCCGGCGCCCGGGCAGCGGGAGACCGACCCTCCGGGGCCTCCGAAACCTCCGGGGGAAGGGGCGGGGCGTTTGGGGGCGGGGGGGGGGGGTTTTGGGGGGGGCGTCGGTGGCCGTTTTTTTTTTTGGTTAAAGCCCGTTTTTTGGATCAGGGCTCCTAAAAAGATCTCCATTTGGCGGCCGTTTGAAACATGTTTTTTTGCAGAAAAAGAAAGGGACGCCGCCATTTACAAGTTGCAATGTTCAGGTGTATGATGTAAGGATCCCTGTGGATGTCGTTGTCTTCAGTTTGCAAAGCAAAAAAGGGGTATCCTCAAAAGACAGACCCATTTTGGGACCCCTGTTTTTTGTTTTGTTGTGTGTGTGTGTGTGTGTGTGTCTCTCGTCTCTTTTTAGTTGGGATTTGGAACCCGGCACAATGGAGGTCGGTTTTTCGGGTTTCAAGTGTTGGTGTCCCTTTCAAACCCAGCGAAAAAGGGGTACCCTCAAAGAAGACACAGCCGTTTGGGTTTGGGGGTACCTTTGTGAAGGATCATTGTGGGACGACAAATGGAAGCCAAAGCGTTTTGATAGGTGCTGCCCTATGTGAGACAAACCCATATCTGTCTGACAACTTCTTCCAACCTTTGGAGTTTATCTTTTCTTTTTTTGTTAAAGGGGAGGGAACCCGCCTCTTTTTTGGTGGGCACCATCTTCCGAATCTAGGGCCAACCGTACACCATGAGCCAACGGTTTGCTTTCTACTTGTTCTTTCTGGGTGGATTCCCACCAGAGTAGTTTTTTTTTTTTTTACAACCAGTAGCGAAAACAGCAAGAGCTGCAGCTCTCCCGGATTCCCATTTATCTCGGGGTTCATTCCCCATTCTTTTCAACCATCGTTCTTTTCAAAAACCCGCTGTTCCTCTGCGTTTCTGATGGTTTTCTGGAACGAAGGATCCCTGGAAAGAATGGGGAAGTGTCCCCTAGAATTTAAATGGACCCCCCCACCCGACCCCCCCCAAAAAAGGCCACGGCCCAAGCGAGAGATCAGATTGAGGCGGTGCTGCTGTGCTACTCCCCGTGCATTGAGCACCGCTTCTTCAAGACCGGGCTGTCCGCCATGTCCTTGGACCAGAAGGCCGGGGGGGAACCAGACGAATCCGGCGTCAGCTGGCTTCTAAACAGGCCCAAAGCTTAGGCGTTTTCTTGGTGGTTCAACCAATCAAAGAGGTTCCAGACAGTGTGTTTAGCGCTTTTTGGTTGGTGAAAAGGGGTTGGGTGTCCGAATTTAAGCCACTGAAAGTAAAACTTGTAGCAGGGACGGCCCCGTTTTTTAGGAGCTGGTACCCCATGTTTGTGGTTTTTACGGATGGTGTCTCATGGATTTGGCATACTAGATTGGTAGTTTGCCTTTGGGCCTGTTCCCCCCCCCCCCCAACCACAACCAAAACACGAACAAAAACACCAAACATGGATAACAATTTCCAGATGGTTTCTGCCTTCACGAGGGTCCGTTGATTGTTGACCCAGACAGGGATTTAGGTTTGGCGCACGTTTTTTTTCTTCTCCCCGTATTTTCCCCTAAAGGCGCTTTTATGTCCCTAGCCCTTGGCATGTATTTATGTTTTTTTTTGGGGACCCTAACGGCTAGGATGTGGACCCAAGTTGCGCTGGTGCGCTCGCAGGTTTCATTTGGTGGCTTGGAGTTGTTCCGGGCATCCCCTCGCCCGCCAAAAGGGCATCAGTTGCTTGGGTTGCCCACCAAAGGGCGCTTATTTTTTTTCTCTCCACTTATTTCCCTTTTGCGTGACTGGTTTCTCAGCAAAGTCTGGGTTTTGGAGAACTGTTGTTTTCTTAGGGTAGTCTTGCTTGGAGAATTCCAAGGAACCCCCCATTTTTAGATGGTTCCTCTGGGAGACATGCTCATGCTCATGTCTTGCGTTTTCTTTTCGTTTGCGGTTCGGTGGGGCCCCGTTTCAGGCGAGACACGGGAGGGACCTGAATCTCTCTATGTGTGCCCCGCAGGGTCCAGTGGCGGGGTTGTGCCGGGGTTGTGGGGCTGGTGAGTTTTTGTTTGTCAAATTTGAAACAACCAACCCCTAACCCTGTTCAAAGGGAAGTGGAAAGGACATTGCTTAAAACATGTTTCAAACGCGGGTGTTTTTTTGGTTGCAAGAACTAGAATTGCCGAACTGATTGGTTTAGTGAGGTCGTGTCGGAAAGAATCGTTGTTTAGCAGTGAGTCGCAACTAGAATTGTCCAACCCTGATTGGTTCAAAGCAGCATGGGTTGTTTAGACCAGTTTCACCCAACAAGCGCCCCAGTTCAGGACGCGGTGGAATGCGGGTACTGGCCCCTGTACCGCTTCAACCCGCAGCTGGCGAAATGCGGCGGCAACCCCTTCATCCTTGACTCCAAGAAGGCTCCGCTCCGACTCAAAGCTCAGCCGGTCTTCCATTTGGGTGTCGTTTTTTTTTTCTCTCGGGGACCCCGTTTGGTTGGGTTTAAAATAGAAACACCGCCATCTTAAGGGGGGGCCTAAAAAAGGACACACCCATTTGCATGAGTGAGTATGGGACTATATGAGACGTCGGGGTTCTCCAGATTGCTTTGGCCCTGTCAAGGTCGATTGAGCAATTGTCAATCTTATGAGGAAATGGAGGTGGCTCTGAGCGAAATTCCCATGGGGAACGGATGTTGATGGCTCATGTGGAGCCCTGTGATCGCGACTTAGGAGTCAATGTATAGGGAGGTGGGTTTGCATCTATTTCGGGGACTCGTTATGCGCTTCCCAGGGTGTGCACCCTCGTTAACATGGAACCCACTAGAGGGTCCCCTTCTGGAAAATCGTTTTTCAGGGCCCCCCACAGGAGGGTACATGGAATCTGCACTCAAGTACCCGTTGGTGCGACTGCGAGGTCACCGGGGATGTGATGAAGTTCCTGAACCGACAGAACAGGCAGGGCCGCTTGGTTCCTTCCCCGTTGAGGTGACCAAGCTGCGAAGGGTTTCAGGGAACTAAGACAACAAAGAGGTAAGACAGAGCTTTCCCAAAACATAGGGTAAGACATAACTTCCCCATCACTGCCCATGGTTTTTCCCTGTTGTGGGTGGTCTTTGGGTGTAAAAGTTGGGTCGATCCCGTGCGACGACGTGTCCCTGCTTCTTTTTTTTTTGGGGGGGGGGGGAAGACGCTGTTGAAGAGCGGCGCCAGCAGGACCGAAAGCCAGAGTCGCCCTTCAAGACCATCACCCCAAAGAAAGTGGGGCTGACCTGCATTGCAAGTTGCTGAAAAGGACACCGGGCCTTCACCTTGGCCACAGGAAGCCCCAAAATGGGGCTCCGGAGCGGCTGATTTCCGGGCCCGTGAGCCGAGTCGGTCGAGTCAGCGAGTCAGCGAGTCAGCGAGGTACGCTCAGCTGGTGCGCTCCTCCCCGGCGGTGGCGGAGAAGCTGCAGGGCGAGCTGCAGGCCATCGGAGGTCTCGGAGGGATCCGTTTTAGGTCGGACCCCCGAAACGGCCAGGGGTTCCTTGGTTTCCGTTTCAAAAAGCCAGGCAAACACGGGTAAACTAAGAAAATGCAGAAGCATTTGCTTCTCTTAGTTCAGGTTTTGGAATTGTAAAACCATGCGGGCTGAGGGCTGTGCATGCCCTTTCTCAGCAATAAGAGGTGCAGACACAAGCAATGCGGGTGAAGGCAGAAGCAATGTGATTGGGGTCTAGGTAGGCGTGTCTTTTTGGCAGTACCGCCTGTGGGGCTGTTTTGAAGGGAAACTAAAAAGACGCCCCGTCTTGGTCTTGTGTTCACCGACTCAGAGCAACAAAGGGAGCCACTTGCGCCGCAGCAGGACCCCTCAAACATCCTTCCCGCATCTCCTCGAAGCAAGGCACAGACAGATGAGTCTGATTTTTGGTGGTTGGTTTCAAAGAAAAGCCAAAAGGAACATTGGGAAAAAACATCACGGACATATATAGGCGTTTTTGTTGGAGGCAACCAACAGAAGGGTGGAGTTCGGGTAAGTTGTCTTCTCTTAAAAGGCAAGGATCAGATGGGAGCCTGCCGAATGTTTAAAACAAGTCTTTATTCAAACGCTGGTTGTAATTCTTGTTCATCAGCCACTTAGTCACTAATCCTTCGAGGGGCCATGAAAATTGGCGTTAGGGGTTTTGGAGGGTGACTTGGTTTCGAAAAACAGCGCCACCCCCTTCCGCCCAATAGCCCCGCGGGAGTTTCCTCGCCCTGGCCACCCAGCGGGAGAGCGGAGGTCTACCTCAAGGACCGCCACGCCTCGCTGCGGGAGAAGGCGGCGCAGCTGTCGAAGGAGGCGCAGTCGCTGAAGGAGGGCCTGCAGGGCGCCAGCTCCTCTGAGCAGGCGGGCGCTCCGCGGGCGGGCGGGTGAGAAGGTGCGGGCTGCGCGGGCGGGCAGTTTGAGGGGTCAAGATCAGAGTGGACAGCTCGAAAAAGAAAGCACGTAAAAAAGCAGCAAAGACACGCCCACACTCCAAAACTACTGGCGTGTGAGAGAAGGTCCCTCCTCAAGGGCCCTGAGAAGGTCAAACTGCAAGCCCGGTGGGGATCATGGCGCATTAGACAGGGCTCCGCGAAAAAATAATTTCTCATTTTGCAACCATTTGAACAACATGGCTGGCTTTTTCAACACAAAACTAAAGTTGGACACAACCACCATTTACAAGTTGCAATGTGTCAGGTGTTTCTCATGCATCCGGATCCCTGGAGTAGATAGACCAAGCCTTGATTTTTTGATCAGCCCAAGTGGCGGGTTTCCTTGCGGCAATTGAACATCCTAAGACAGCTCGGTTTGTTTTTTTGGGTCTACTCAAGAAACTTAGCAAGAGCGCATGAGCCGCAATCAAATCCCAGGTAGATGCGGTAGATGAAGGTTAGGTCTGTTGACAAGCCATAAATAGTCTCGGAAGTTTGTATTACATGGTTCTGGGTCAAGTATTTTAATACAGATCGGTTTTGATTGTGACTCAAAACTCGAAGTCCAGGAAAGGCCCCCAGTCTCCTTTTGCCCTTGGACATCCGCGAGGTGGTCATTGCCTTCGGCTCCGACACCGGGGTCACGGAGCAGGCGAAACGGGGCGCTCCCGTCTTCGTAACGAGTTTGGTTGAAGAAAGGTGTAGGCTCGCCTCTAAGGCTGACCTGATTGGCAGGCGAACTTTTTGCACTTATACATTGATTCATTTTGGCAAAGTCAAACAAGCTGCATATATACATATACATATATGTATATATTTCTTTTCTGCCCCGGCAGCCGGATAACAAAGAGCCGAAGCAAAGACCTCGCAAGGCCCTTAGTTTCTATGGTTCCTCTTCAAACAAACAACAACATGTGTCCCCCAGGATTCCCCCGAAGCCCCCATTAAAAGAATGGCCTCGGGACCCAATTTGGATGATGAGCATCCTGAACGGTAAACAATGGTGGTGAAATGTGAGCCTTGTTTTATTGGTGGTTTGAATCCCAAAATGGGTCTCTTTCAAAATCGGGATTACTTTTATGGACATAGTGACATGGAAGGGTTCCTAATTTTCTGAAACACCCACATGGGAACTCAACTATATTTGTCTTTCTCTTGGGCCAGGGGATTTGGTTCTTTGGCTGAGCCAAAGTGCTTCTTTGCCCCATCTCCTTTTTGGGGCAGGGCTCGAGTTTTTTCTTGGTGGTGATTCGCTACTCCTCGGCTTTTTCTGCCATGGCATCCAAACGAGTCATTTTCCGAATGGAGATTCCACAAGGGTCTTTTCAAAAGTTTCTCTGCCGCTCGCCCTTGTCCCGTCTTTGACAAGCAGAAGGCCCGAACAATTTTAACAAACAACATACTAAAAAAGCTGTTGATTCCTTTCCACGAGTTTTTGGTAGCCTCCAGAAGTAGACATATCAGGCTTGTATTTCGTTGCAGTGTTTTCCGGGTTCTGAGATTCGTTCGGGTGTTTCTTGAAATAGTATTCCCCCAAAATAGTTGGTTTCCTTTTGGTTCCCCATGACTGCGGTGGATGCCCGAAATATTGCAAGTAGGGGAAAAAGTTGGACCTCCCCAATTCACAGTAATTTCAAGCATGGCGTGGGTGGGTGGGTGTGGTTGGTTTGCTTGCAAACAACATCGGGCATCCGTACCAATCGGGGGTCCACCAATTTGAGAGAGCCCCACTCCTTTGCACCTTTTCTTGATTGCTATTGGGTTGGATCTTTAGACTTAAACTATTTCGGACATCATTTGGGTTTTCTGCACTTTTTGCAGAGGGGTCAACAATCCAGCAACCAAGTATTTGGGTGTGTCTTTCTGTAGGGCACCCCTAAAATGGGTGGGTTTCCTTTTTGGCTTCCCTTGAGCCCCACACGCACACGACAAGGGGTACCTTGAAACAAGACTGGGGTCATTATTTTGACCGTTTCTGGGAGTTATCAAAGTCAGAAAATGGGGTTGTTTCCCTCTAGCCCACCACTTAGGGGGTGACTTTGATCATGGTAAAATAGTGAGGCCTGCAAGACCGATCCAGGTGACCCGGTGACCAAGTTGTTGTTCACTTCTTTTCAGGTGGCGAAGAAGTTCGCAGGCCTCTGCGCGGAACGCAACGTGCACGCCGCTTGGCAGGAGATGGGACCGGACTGGACGGGATGGGAGGGAGGCACTAAAACCCTGGGGTTTCCACTACAATGGTAGAGCTACCATTTCCTAAGGATTGCCATCATCTAGATCTGGTGGGAGATATAGAGGTTGAAACCTAGGGTAAATCTGACCCCAAGAGAATAGTCAGTCTTCCAACACCCGATCCTCAGCTTCCATTGGAGATTACCTTGCGGAAAGGTGCGGTTTTTGCTCCCTATGTTTACATCTTCCATGCGCGTGTTTCCCTTTATTCCGGACCCCATGTAGAACAAGGGTGCCATCCCAAAGGTGGCTCTTTATATGTTCCACCAACAAAAAGCTGGTTGCCAGGTGCATAGAGTTGAACCAATGCAACAGATTCACAGATCAGTAGTCACACCTGCAGATTCCCGGCTCATGTGCTTTGCGTTTTCAGAGGTGACATTTTGCTTGGATGTTAGGACTTTGACTTTCTGCCAACTAGTGGGTTTTCCGTATGAATCCGCTAAAAGCTTTAGTCACGTTTTGCAGAGCAGAAAAACCGTTGGTACCCAAAACATCTAACCTCTCTACTGGAGGACCTACTGTGGATGGACGAAATTCTGCATCACTTGAGAAACCATAGAATGATGATTCCCCTGTAAATACCAACAAACAGTGGTTTGCATCGTGGTTTCAAGTGGTGCGAATCGGATTTCGTCCATCCACAGTAGTTCTCGTTTCGGGAACCAAGGTGCGGAGGGTCTGCGACTTGGACGAGCTGAGCGACATGGAGGAGTTCAAGTCGGTGACTTCCGGCGCGGTCTGCGTGGTGATGTGCGCCACCTGCGGCCACGGAGACTTCCCGCAGAACTCCGGGCTCTTCTGGAGCGGCGCCTTGGGGACAATAATTGGTCGCGTTCTTTTTGTTGCCGAGATTCCTTTCTGGGCTTCTTGTTTTTTTCTTCACAAAGTCTCAAAGACAGCCTTTGAGCCGCCAGGATCATGGGCACGCATCACCAGTGGGTGCCGCAAAAACAACAATAGCCGCGAGCGGGACACCCATGCCTTCCGTTGGCTGAAACGAGGATTTTGCTTATGACTTTGGCTTGGGTTTTAAATGGAATCTATCACTGGACCATACTTTTGGCATTTGTTCCTGGGGACGAACATACAAGCAAATGGCAATTGGATCCCCATTGTTCAGTGTCCCCCCCTCCATTTTTTCTTAGCTCCTGCACAAAAAGAGAAGCAGCAAGAAGAAGCGAGAGGGGTTGAGGCCCCTTGGGATTGAAAAGGACCCGATCCAACTTGAGGTTTTCTGTACCTGGGGGCCCTTTTAACTTCAAGTCCGGGTTTCTCGGTGGTTCCCAGCCATCCGGTTCCTGAGCTTGTTCCTGCGCTTTTTAGATCTGTTTAGTTGGTTTTGTGGTTGGGTTTCTATTCAACCAACAAAAAGCTAGTCAGACAGCTCAAGTTTTCACGAGCGGACGATTCTACCTGAAAGGTACATCTGGTCATTTGTTTGACCTCCAACGGATTTTCTTGCCCTCCTGGCATTTCCCCCCGACCTTTTCAAACGGGCGAGGTCCATCTTTCCCCGCCTTTTTTTTTTTTTTTCCGCCTTGCCACCCCCAGCCCCAAAAAATTCGCGGGAGTCGGATTTTTTCGGCGCTGGCCGCCGGGGATCCCGGATCCAATGGCCTTGGGGATCCCGGCTTCACAAGATCCTCAGAAGGAGCCACGGGATCTCTGGGGCAGTGGCCATAAGTGGGCCACGGGCTCAAAACCGATTCGGGTCGAGGAAGGTTAAGGGGCGGTCCCAGCCATACATAGCTGAGATCCGCCCTCTTAATTCTTGAAGCATGGTTCGGGGGATCGACCATGTTTGCGAGAATCGGGCCATCCATTTTTATTTCCGTACCTGCCAATGCCTCCGTCAAGACACAGAAGTTGAGAAAAGCCTTGAGCACCGACCCGCGAAGCTGGTTTTGGCAGTTTGGCATTCGGTCCCTCCAACCGGCCGAGGCTTGTCATCGCCGAGCCTCGCCAACAAGGAGCCAGCCACGCAGACGGAGGTTTGTGTCCGTCACTGGAGGTTACGGGGTGTTCATGGGTGTCCTTTTTGGGTTAGTTTGGTTACAAGTAAATGGTAGGTCCCCAGTTAGGTGCCCTTTTACCGTTTTGTGGGGGAGGGTTCCCCTACTAAAATAGACTGCAGAAAAAAGGGTGCCCTTATTCTAACCTCTCTACCGGAGGACCTAGTAGTCTGGAATGCTGTTTCGGGATACGGGAGGCTAGGAGAGCCCCACCAAGCCGCAGGAAACTCCGTCCCAAGCCTCATATCTCACAACACTCCCGTATCACTTCCATAGGATGGCACTGGTTTAGATTGGCTTTATTCCATTTACGAGGGTCACCTATGGGGGCGTCCTGATCTTAGAGTTGGCTTCCAGCCCAGGGAACAAAGAAGCAGACATGTCTCCCAAGGGTTACATATCCCATTTAGAGGCAGACCCTGGTGAGTAATAAGCAGCTGGCGTACTAGGTCGAAGGGTATCTAACTGTGGAAACCCTTTAGAATATGTGCCAAATGAAGCTTCAGACAGGGGTCCTTGCATGTTTTGGCGTTTGTCTTCCACCTCACCTTGGCTCATTTCGCTTGAGTTTTCTTTGCGGGTCGACTGGAGTCGTTTGTTTGACTGAGGCTGTGAAATTTTGAGCATGTTATCTGGGCGGCACCCGGTGCACTCAGCTACCTGTTGTTTTTTTTGGGTAGCGGTCACATGGTCCATCCTGGTTCCCCTATTTTGACGGGCATATCTTTGTTTTTGCCTGGGCCGGTGATATTGGTGCTTGGTTTCGCTGTTCATTTCGGCTGCGCCACCTGCGCCCGCCCGCGCCTGGAGGAGTTGGCGGAGATGCGGTTCTGCGTCTTCGGCATGGGCGACCGCAGCTACCACGACTCCTTCTGCGAGGCCGCCAAGAAGATCGAGGCGCGGCGATCTTTTGGCGGCAATGCTTTCGGCGGCGGCTTCATTTGAGCCACGTGCTCAAAACCTGGGTCGAGGAAGGTTAGGAAGGGATTGTCCCAACCATACATAGCTGCGGATATCCGCCTTCTTAATTCTTTGCCTGGTTCTGGGTAGACCATTCTAGAAGCAACGGCAGAGGTGTGGCTGGTCTGGACGGAGTCTTGTTTTGGGTGTAGCACTTTTAGGGTTGGTTTGAAGAGAAGCCAAAAGGAAGCCGTTGCCATTTCCCCCCCTATTTCGGGACGCATCCGGACGGAGCCTTGGAAGCATAGGTGTCCTTTGGATCGGTTAGTTTGGGCAATGGAATAGATGGGTTCCACTGGTTTAGATTGGTTTTGCGCCCTCCATTTCCCAGGGGAAACCATCGACTTTTTCTAAGGCCATCCATGCTTGGAAGTGTCTTAGCTTTAGTGCATTTGCTTGGATGTTAGGACTTTAACTTTCTGCCACTTCATGGGTTTTCCGTATTAAGTCACTCAAAGTGTTCGTTACACTTTTCGAGAGCAGATTTCGCAGCCGAGCCACGCAGCTTGGGTTTCGAGTCGCTCACGAGAGGCGCGCATGGTGGAGCTGGGCGCAGAGAAGCTGCTGGACATGGGCATCGGGGACGACCGGGATGAGGAGATAAATGCGCGCCCGAGTCGATTCGCGCGGATTCGCGCGGCGATTCGTTTTTTGCTTTTTTCCTTTTTCGGGTGGCAAGGGGTGGGGGTGTCACTCCATGAGTTCAAGGACTTGAGTCACTTTTTTTTGGGGTTTGGTGGCCATTTTAAATGGTCAATTAAAGGTTGCAGGTCTTTGGCCAGTGTCCTGAGTGGGGTTGCCCGTTCGGAGTATCCCCAAACGAGGAAGTATCCAATACAAAGACGCAGCTTCATGCGGGGTCCGCCAGACATGCGGAGATGTTATCGCCAAAGGAAAAGTATAGAGATCTCCTGTTTCAGGGCCATTTGAAGATGAGTTTCTGAAAGGGTGGGAGGATGTTCAAGGGACATATTTTTGGACTGGGGGAGCTGGTTGGCCAAGAGATGGTGCCGCGTCTCTCTTCGATAGCGCTTTTTCTCTGTGTCGTTGGGTTGTGGGAATGCCGAGCAGCTACCTCTTCTAGCAAAGGCCTTCCAGTGGTGTTTTATAGAAGTGGGCAGTTCCCACAACCGTGTTTGTGTGTCGGGTTTTGTTAGCCCTTTGCTTTTTTTTTTTTTTTTACACATACATACATATATATATATATATATATATATATATATATACACACACACACACCCACCCACCCCGATGATAACTTGAGGCCCCAAGAATCCTGTTTGAGCCCAACCTTGGAGGCTGTTGCTTTTTGCGAACATCAGAGAATCGGGATTTCCCCTTCTTTGCAGGGGAATACTTTCTTTGTTCTCCCGCAACCATCCCTTGGAAAAGGACGTTTTTTCCCGCACATCCCTTCCTGTGGCAACCCCGAAAAAGGGGGGTTTGGATGGAGAAGCCGTCCCGAAACACCACCAAACTCACCAGTCTCAGGGACGCTGATCCCCCTTCCCTTCTTTTTTTCCAAAGGCCACCTTTTGTGCCCCGAAGAAGGGGATGTGTTATCATGGAAGTTGTTGGGACACATTTTGCTTTTTTTGCTTATTGTGGTTTAGTGGTTGACATCCAACCACTGAGCTGCTAAAGTTTTCTCAATTTTTGCTCCCCTTCCAACGTCCAGCAAGTAATGCTGACCCCATATGAATCAACCTTAGTTCAGAAGTATGGGGGTCTGATTACTCACTAAACCCAGGGACACCCCTCTATTAATAAATGTGTTGATTAATATGGCGCCTTACCCCCAAAAATGTCCTGGAACATGGAAAGAAAGACTCAAGCCCAGAAATGCCACCTTCCCTTCTTTGAGGAAGGTGATGTTTTAACTAGGGCTCCCCTTCCTCGAGGACAAGTGGGAGACCGGCTTCAGCGCCTGGCTCCCGAAGCTCTGGGCCACCCTCCGCGCGGCCGAGCCCTCGGACGACGGGAGGCCCAAGGCGCCGGCTTTCTTTTTCTTCGGCGCGGGGCGGCGCGGAAAAAAGAACGGCCGCAAAATGCGGCGGGCGTGGGTTTTATGCCCATGAACTAATGGTTGCTTTCTTGGATCTGGGAGAAAAAGCCAGGAGTTGACACCTTAAGACACTTCTTGGGGGGAGTTTAAGAGAGACCCGGTCTATGGATGCGATTGGGAACCAAATCGTTCTGGAAAAGAGATTGAGAAAGACACATAGGCGAAGCAAAAGGCCATTGTTTCTTTGACGAATCTGTCTTTATTGAACAAGGTGAATCAGTGTTGGCCATCCAAATGCACCGTGTTGGCCATCTAAATGCAATGAACAGCAATCGCTACTAATGGGCAAAACCAAAACCTTTGCGCGCTGCCTGGATTTCTAGGCGTTGCCTGTGGATGTTCTCCATCCACAGTTTCACTCCACATGCTAACAGCTAGCGCTGCTTGGATTTGAAGCGAGCTTGGCCTGACAATGATTGGCTGTTGGCAGTATATATTGACAAGCACTTGGTCTTTGCTTTGGATTCATCCGATGGACTCTACTAGTCAGAGAAGCTGGCCAAAAATAGCTGATGTCCCTACCAAATGTCCCTGAGTAGTTCGATCGAAGTTACATTACCCCTAATCTTGGTTTTCACCAACATGTGGCATTGGTCAGGACAAACCCTTTGTCCCTTTTACAAATAGCAAGTTGCAATGATTAGTCATGCGCACAAACAGTTGAGATCCAATTCCATGAAGAAACGGGTGTCGGACAACTTCGCCACTCGACCTTGACAGTTTCCAGCTAATTCGATATGGGTTTGTCGTCTTTTGGAAGACTCTTTTGGTTGGTTTGAAAGGGACACCACAAGGACAACCGCCATGTTCCACTTCGGGAGAGTTGGCCGTCAGTGTTTTGGAAAACTTGGTGACCCACAGAGGCCAATCGGGGGAGCCTCCTTCTGTTAGTCGGGAGTGCAAGTCTAGCCGAAGTCGATGCTGTCGGTGAACTGGCCAACCTTTGAGAAGGTTGGGTCTTTGCGTTGTCGGCAGACTGGACTATGATCACATTTTTTTGTTTTTCTCCTGGGTCAACTTTACCAGCGGATTATCACCAAAGAAACACACACACACACACACACACATCCCCACATTCTTGCGGTGAGCGTTGACCTATTTGCGTGTGTCGTCTTATAAGACACCCCTCCAAAATGCCGGTTTTCCTTTTGGTCGCCGTTTAGAAACCACAGAAAAAGGTGGTATTTTTCCCCAATGACGGCTTGGCCGCCCTCCCTCCAACTCTCCCCTCCCCGCCCTCGATCCGAAGCGCAGGCGCCGCTCTTCGCGGTGAAGTACCACGACCAGGCGGCCACTCAGACGGCGCCGCTGGTGCCGCCCGGGTCCCAGCGCCCCGGCCGCACCGAAAATTTAGACCTCCTGGCGCCAGGGAGGTCTGATGATTGGGTGGGTGGGGGGGTGGTGGTTGGATGCCTGTTGGTTTTCTTGCTGGCTTGATACTTGGGGGCGCAGGGTAGTTAAGAGGGAAGTAAGCCTGGTGAGATAGCCCACTGAACGGAGGCTTTTCGCCAGGGTAGGTGGGGTAGAACCATGGTTATTGCCCGCTTACCAAGTACAACGCCCCTTTAAGTAGGCAGGGAATGAGATGTTGGATGACCCCGACCAGAACCATCCCCAATCTAATTTGGTTTGCTTCTTCGGGAATCTCCAATTGGTTCATTCCCAACATCTGGACTCGGGCCTTCCCTAGCTATTGCACCAAGCTTTTGATTGGTGGGTTTCAAGGGCAGGGGGTTGAAGTGCAACATTTTGCCGGAAAATATTTGTCGGCCTTTTTGGATGGTTTTAGAGGGAACCCGCCCGCCCCTATATGGCTGTGGCTCAAAACATGTACAACAATCTCACCTTGCTAAAATGGAAACTAACACTACTACCTGCGTAGCCCTGGGTCTTTCATTTTGGACCACCCCCCCCGCCCAAATATACATATATATATATACATATATATATATATATATATAAATATACCCCAATATACATATATATATATATATATATATATAAATCCCCATCTCCGGTGGCTTGAGATCTCTCGCTCGCTCGCGCTCGCTCTCGCTAGGCTGCTGACCATCACGGAGAACACGCGGCTCACGCCCAGCGGCTACGAGCGGGACATCCGGCACCTGGCACTGGGCCTGGAGGCGATGGAAAAAGCGCCGGGGGGGTGGGGTGGGTGTTGGGTGTTGGGGGGGTGTTTGCGGGGGTGTTTGGGGGGGTGTTTGGGGGGTGTTGGGGGGGTGTCTTCCTTTAAAGGGACCAATTCCTGGGTTCGTTCCAACTCATTCCCCTACCTCTCGCATCAGCAAGTTTATGGCTACACTCCCTCAGACTAACAGCCGGAAGCATCACCCAGTTCTCCAAAGGGGTGGGAGCTGCCATATTAGTCTGGGGGAGTAGCGGATCTTTGGACTCAACTTTTTGGTTGAAACAGGTCGGATTTTCTGAACTGGACTCACAAAAAGTTGCACTGTTGAGACTGGTGCTTCAAATATGTATTCGGGGTCCTCCAAAACGGCATCCGGTCTTCCGTTTGGTTTCCCAAGACAACCCCCCAAAAAAAGACAGGCCCCAGCTAGGGGAACGCCCGAAACAAATCGGTGTTGTCCTTTTGGTTTTTCTTTAAAGCCCTGCAATCTCTTCCTTCTGCTTGGTTGGATCTTTCTTTAGCATTTCGGGAAACTATAGATTTTTCTCGCACAGCAAGAAGCTAACAGACCAAAGGCGATGCGGGAGCAACAAGTTAAGTTTTCGATCGAGCCATCCAAATGGTTCTGTCTTTCTTAAGGGTTCCCCCTTGTTTGTGGCTTTTAAAGGGAACCAACAGGACGCCAACCATTCATGGGGTCCCCAGACAAAATCAGACCCATATCTTTGTTGACTCCTGTTCAACCATGTGTTTTTTTTTTTTTTTTTTTTCAACTCCTTCTATTACACTGCAAAAACTCATTTCTCATAGCCCGTTGTTTAAACCACCCCCATTTCATCTTCTTCCCAAATATCAACCGCTTTTCACTTTTTTTGTGAACTCTATGTGCGAGTGGGTGTTCTTACTAAGCGACTGTTCGGGTTTGGTTTAAACGGAGCTTTGGAAGGAGTTTGCCTGTGATCGCAGGGCCTGGACTTCCCCTTCGACCTGGGAGATGCGGTGGCCATCTACCCGGAAAACCTGCCAGAGGAGTCTGGGTTCAAAGGCAATCGATTTCACTACTGAAGATATTTTCGAGATATGTTTTGCATTTTTCCAGGGAGCGACTGAAGCAAATGGAAAATTATTAACGTTGTAGTTATAGTTATTACTGTAAAATAATTATACTCCTAATAATTATTTTTTTCGTGTTCAAGCGATCCTTAGTTGGTGGTGGTTTGGGCGTACCCCCCAGTTCACCTTTGAGACGTGGGGAAGGTACCCCTTAGGGTCCAAGTCACCAGACACTACGGGGGAAGCTGCAGTGTCTTTTGGAGGGGCGTCGTCTCTTGGTTCCCCTGAAAAGCATCCCCTTCTGATGGACCTAGAAGAAACAACTGCGGGAAAACACGCATGTTGCCTTCTTGAATTATCTCTACGCCTCGGGAAGTTTCTGCTTCCTTTTGCAGGACATGGATAGACTTCCCCCGAGAGTGAACACCACACACCCCCAAACCCCCAAACCCCAAACCCCCAAACCCCCACACCCCCACACCCCCAAACCCCCAAACCCCCAAACCCCCAAACCCCCAAACCCCCAAACCCCCAAACCCCCAAACCCCCAAACCCACACCCCCAAACCCCCAAACCCCCAAACCCCCAAACCCCCAAACCCACACCCCCAAACCCCCAAACCCCCAAACCCCCAAACCCCCAAACCCCCAAACCCCCAAACCCCCAAATCCCCAAACCCCAAACCCCCAACCCCCAACCTCCAAACCCCCGCCCCCCAAACACCCCCCCCCCCCCCCCAAACCCCCAAACCCCCCATATCTCCAACCCCCCAACGTTTTGGGCGCAGGACGTGGACCGGGCCCTGAAGTTCCTGGACCTGGACGGCGGCGCGGTGATCACCGTCTCCTGCGCGGAGAACGTCTCCGAGCGCCACCGCCGGGCCTTCGACCGCCGGGTCACGGTGCGCCAGGTCCGGCGCGGTCGAGGGGCGGTGGATGGGTCGAGAGGGGTGGATGGGGTGGTCGTGGAAGATTTGTTTGGAGGGACCCCTTAGTTATTTTGCTGGGGTTTCGGGAGGGGGGGGAAGTGCTTCCAGGCAAGCCACCATAGTGGGTAAGGGGCAAGAATCATGTGAAACCTGAGGAAAATACCTTATCTCCTATTGGGCTTGCACCCGCACTTTTCCCCGCATTTTACACCAAGAGGGGCATCTTTTCATTCTCCCCTTTGCTTTTCATTCTCCACCAGCAATCGAAACCACCCAAGACAAATCGTTAGGCAAGCCAACATTTTCTACACTTCAGGGGGGGGAGGGGGGTGGGCTGTGTGGTGTTTGGTTCTTCCCTTGTTTTTTGTTTCGTTTTTTCAGGGGTTGGCTGTTGTGTTTGGTTCTTCTTCTTTTTTCTTCTTTTTTTTAATAAACAGAAAATAGGGTTTTCTTTTTTTTCTTCAAAAAACAAAACAACACAAAACAAAAAACGAAAACACAACAAACACAACTACACAACACTAAACACATCTTGTTTTTGGGTGGGGTGTGTCGTTTTTGCGCTTCCCCATTTTTGCTTTCGTGTTTCTCCAGGTGCTGACCAGCCTGCTGGACCTCTTCGGGCGCCCGGCGCGGTCCTTCTGCCTGGAGCTGGCGCGCTTCGCGTCAAATGCGGAGGCGAAGCAGCTGCGGGGCCTGGCGGAGGTGGATGCGGACGCCTTCCCAGCCAAGAAGGCGGGAGGTTTGGGGGGGTTGTTTCGGGGGGTGGAGGGGGTGGTTGGGTGGTGGTTTGGGGTGGTTGGGGTGGTTGGGGTGGGAGGTGAGATTGGAAGGCTGGAAGGGGTGGGGGACTTTGGTTGACTCAGAGCGGCGACAAGCAACCTCATAGCCGAATAATGGGTATTGGTGACTCTTCGGGGCCATTGCGGACCCTTGCTTGGGTTATGTGCCTAAGCTCCCCTTTGAATCAGTAGATGGGGGAGAGGGGGCAGGATGGGGTGCGAGGGGGGGAATGGGGTTTGGGGCGAGGTGGCACAAGGTTCCAAGGTGTTGCCAGAAAATGTGATCGGGATCAATCATGTCCAGGATCAAAGAAGGTTTGGGGCTTTAGCTTTGGGGTGTTCTGTTGGGTTTCGTTTTTGCTTTGTTTGGGGGGGGGGGCTGTTTCTTCTCGGTGGCTCCCAGCCATCCGGTTCTTTGCTTTTTAGTTGGTTTAGTGGTTGGGTTTCCGAATTTACCCCTAAACGTAAGTCACTTTTAGCAGATCTGAGCACGGGCGGCCCAGAATTTGTTTCCTTGGGTGGGGTCGAATTTGTTTTTCTTAAGGACGAGTGGGCGGCGCTGACAGAGCAGTGCCCCAGCTACTTCGACCTCATGCTGAAGTGCCTTGGGCCTGAGAGCATATCGCTGAGGTCGGCCTTTCTTTCTTTTTTTGGTGAAACCCTATTTTGTTCGACCTGAGAAACGCAGCCTCAACAACAAAAAAACACATTCACATATGGGTGCTTCTGTTTCTTTTTTGGGTACCCATCTCGGGATGGTTTTGAAGGGAAACCCAAGGAAAGAAACAAGTGTTTGGGTACTCCTATTCTGAGACAAACCCATGCAAGTCCCCCAAAAAGTCCTGTGGATTCTCTCACAGGTTCCTAGCCAGTAATCACTTTTCGAGGTTTTCTTTGCTTTTTGGGAGCTTTTGTTAATTCCATGTTAAGCTTGCTGGTGCTCAGTAGGGAATGACCTTCCGGGTGTTGGGCATGAGCCGGACGGGGATTCCCTTAAAGGAAAAGAGTCATTGCAACACATTCGCTGCCTATCCAATTCGGAGGATTCCCTGGGTTCCATTTGCAAGAGAGTGCAGGGGGCATTGTACTCAGTAAGTGGGTAATAACCATGGTTAGAACCCACAACAGCCACGGTTATAAGTCTCTGTTCATGGGTCATCTCACCAGGCTTTCCCTCACCACTTACCTGACATACTGAATGGATTGTTCCCTTTAAGTAGGCGCCGGATGCTCGCGTTTCTCCACGACACGGGAGAAGCACGTGAGCCACGTGCTCAAAACCGATTCGGGTAGATGAAGGTTAGGAGCAGTCCCAGCCAGACATAGTTGCGGATATCCGCCTTCTTAATTCTTGAAGCATGGTTCTGGGGATCGACCATTTTAATACCTGTTTTTGACTATGATTCAGGTTCCGTGAGACTTTTTGGAAGGCTGACGTGAATCTGTATGAACTCTCCGTGTGCAGGTTCCATAGAAAGACTTACCTTACCCGGTAGAAAAATACCTTGTTTTGATTATACCGGGTTTGTGACTCACCTGGACTTGGCCCATGAAAGGGGAGTGTTTTGAGGGGGATAGTGACCTTTTGAGGGGATTTTTTTGGACGATTTCGACAAGTCTCCACGACATTTGCGGGGGCGAAACCAGCGCGCGTGAGGTTCCCCAGCGCCAAGATGCCGCTGGACCAGCTGCTGTCCACGCTGCCGTTGTTGAAGCCCCGCATCTACTCGGTGGCCTCAGATGCCAGGTACAGCCCCGAGAAGGTGGAGTTTACCATCGTCATCAACCAGCGCCTGGGCTGCTGTTTAGTTTTTTTCTTCTTTGTGTGTGTGTGTGAGTCAAAGTGGAAAGCAATATGCCAAAGTGGCTTTCTATCCCTGGGCCGCTGTTTAGCTTCTTGTGTGTGTGTGTGTGTCAACCGAGAAAACTTGGGGTTTAGAGCTCAGCGCTTCGGCATCTTGGGATTTGGAGCCCTCTTGGGGCAGCCCACGGGGCGCCCCGATTTGTGTTGGCTGATCTTGTTCGGGACTTGGAGCGAAGTGGGGAGCATTCCAGTTGTTTCCGAACCAAGCTAAAGGTTCTAAGACGCGAAACAAAGTTGCTTTCCTTCATTTTTGTTTGGAGTCTTTCACTTCTTGGTGGTTACCACCCATCTTGCCAGATTTTTAGCTTTTTATAGTTTAGGGTTGGGTGCTCATTTAACCCACAAGTTGTGTCCATTTCATTTCCAGCAAAAGCTTCGAGCAACGGGCTAGAATCCCTTTGCATGTTTTCATTTCACAGGTCGAGCTTTTGATTTTGCTCAGTGTCTCTGGGTGGGCAAAGTTTTGAGCTTCCCTTGTGATTCATTTCACTTTAATTGGTTTCCCTTTTTTTTCTTCTTCTTTTTTCGGATGGGCAAAACAACCTGTTCGAAACACATATTGTTTGTGGGCCTGAACGTTGCAGCGTCTCTTCCATCACGTACATCACACCACCACACAACGCAACGCAACACAACCACACGACACGCATGCACACAGAACAACCGTGCACGGATCGTGCAAGACAACGTGAGACACGCAGAGCAGCGCAAAAGACGTGCAACAGATCACAAGCTGCAAACAGAGCAACTAGTTGGAATGGGCTCTGCGCTACTATGAAACCAAGTCACCTTCAGTCCAGGTACCCTAGGGCAGCAAGAGCTTTCAGCTGGCATCATTGGTCCCAGGTGTTCTTCCAGGCAATTTCCTGGTCATTTTGGGATGGGATCTCGAGCAAGCTGAGGGCTTCTTCTCTTGTTGTGGGAACTAAGTACGTGGGATGGGTGCCCCAAAGTATGTAATACCATTTGTGTCTTGTTTTAGGAATTGGACTCTTCCTCAAAAGAACATATGGTGGCTTCTCTTTGGTCTTCCTTTTTTTCTTCCCCCAAATTTCCGGGTCTCCAGCCAGTTTGAAGGGTTGTTGCGGCACGAAAAGGGGCACCTGGAGCTCTCCGTTGAGCTTGGTGAGTTCCATGTTGACAGGGGTTGCTGCCTCGGTTTTCCTTTTTGGCTTCCAGTTATCCTCTAAAAAGTTGAGGTTTTTGGGTTTGGAGTTTAGAGCTTGGCTTTGTTAAGGTCGCGGGTTTTCGGGTTTGCGGCTGCTACCTTTTGCCTGAAACACAGATACCCCACAGCCATGGTTGAAATCGCCCCCTGAAATTTCGGTTTTCCTGCTGGTTTCCATTTATCCTGGACTTTGGTGAGGCGTTTGCCTTAAAGATGTAGATAGGGTCCCTATCGGTCGTACACATCACCTGGTCTTGGGAGCGTTTATTGGGGGTGATGTTTGAAGGGGACAGAAAAACCGTGGATGGTTGCGCAAATCCATTTCGCATCACCTGAGAAACCGTAGAATGATTCGATTCCCCTGAAAATACCAAGCAACAGCGGTCTCCACCATGGTTTTTTATTTTGGTGCGGTTTCGGATGTCGTCCATCCAGAGTAGGACGATTTTTCCGAGATCCCCCCAGCGAAATCTCAGCTTTCGAGCGAGGTGGAAGGCAAAGTCCGGTGAGCTGAAGACGGGCACCTGCACCAAGTTCATCCAGCAAGCGCCGGTGGGCAAGCAGGCCCGGTTTCGAGAGCTCGCGGAATAGAAACGGGGAGACACCTCAGGTTTTTTTTTTTGGCCTCATGCTGTTTTTGCAGTTCTTTTCTTTTTTGTTGGGTTTTTGTTTGTTTTTGTTTTTGTTTTTCCTAGGCCCCGCAGCTAGGTGCCCTTTCTCAACCTTTCTTGGTTGGGAGGGGTTCCCTTACTAAAATAGACTACAGAAAAAAATTGGGTACCCTTATTCTAACCTCTCTACTGGAGGACCTAGTTGGTTTCTTCTTTTTTTGCGGGTCTTTTGTGAGAAGGCTTCAAAAAGCGTATTCTGGGCCAGGCAAGGCCACAACAAGAAGGCCTTACAACATTTCATCCCAAACTGTCCATGCAGGCAATATATACCAAGATTTGACCCATTTGGAGTATACACGTTTTTTTTCTTCTTCCTGCTCGGATTGTCGGGGCTTGGGACGGGTCCCAAGGTCCACGAAGGAACTTCGAGGTTCCCGTTGAGCCGCCCCCAGCAAGCCGACGGTTGCGAAAAAAAATCAGGTGGCCTGCGCGGTGGTGTGCGGAACCTTCCAGTTCCCGGAGAAGGACGCCCCCGCAAGCGGCGAACTGGGCTTGTCTCCATGTCTTTGGTGGATTTTTGCCAAGGGATGTTAGGACTTCAGCTTTTTGCCAACCAATGGGTTTTCCATTGAACCACCAAAAGTGTTCGACTTTTAGACAGGGGAGCAGAAAGCAACCGAGATGTGGATGGACAAAATTCGTTCGCGCCACGAAGTGACACCGTGGGTTGAAACCATCACGTTTGTTGGTATTTACAGGGGAATCATAAGAAACTAGGGCTTTTGAGGTGGTGCGAAATGGATTTCGTGCATCCACAGTAGGTGTCCTTTTGATCCGTTCGGTGAGTTTGGGAATAGACGGGTTCCACTGGTTTAGCTTGAATTGCCATCCATCTTTGCTTTGCTTCCAAAGGGTCACCGAATGTGAACCCCGAATTTTCAGCAGAACCCCTGGTTGATTTTCATGGGGGGAATCATAACGACCTCACACGACCAAATTCACCCCAAATGGTGGTTTCTGTGGGGAATATTCCCCCAATGACCGATTTTTTTCAGGTTGGTGAAATATTAGAACTCACCCAGATTAATAGGGGGGTGTCCCATTCCTTTTAGTGGGGATTCATCATTGGAGGGAACACCCCCCGAAGAATGGGACGCGTTTATTAGTCCTGTGTCAACATTATGTTTGTCTCAGAAGGGGTGTGAATCAAAATGAAACAGCCGCCTTACCGGCAGTCTTTGTTTCCAAATAACCAAGGAATCATTTTGGTTATATACCATTCTTTTAGCCACAGACAAGTGGGTGGCTCGTGTCTTTTTTGAGTTGGTACCCTTTTCGGGCTTGGGAAACTGGAAGGAACCACCATTTTTGGACACCAAAAGTAAAACGAACCATGTCCGACTCCTATTTGAGGACACAGCCACATAACAATCGGGCCCAACATAAGCTTCGGTTTCCCCGAAGAGATCCCAGTTTGATTTGCCGAGCTTTCAATCGCCTGACCTTCGGGTTAGGTTTGGTCGAGTGGGCCAAAGAACATGTGCGCTGCACGAAGCCCTGCAAGGCGAGCCGGTGCCCAAGCAAGGGCATTCGTGATGTTCGGTTCGGCGTTTTTGTGGATAGTCTTGAATTTGTCACCTTTAGGCTATAGGTGTTCTTACTCTCTTTCTCTTTCTCTTTCTCTTTCTCTTTCTCTGTCTCTCTCTCTCTCTCTCTCTCTCTCTCTCTCTCTCTCTCTCTCTCTCTGAGGATGGTGATTGAAGGGCCCCCCGGAAGGCCGACTGGCCCTTGCCTTGGAATAGGACACCACCCCCATGGTCATGGTGGGCCTGGGCACGGGCATCGCGCCCATCCGCTCCTTCCTGCAGGACCCGAGTAACGGGCGAGGGCGCAGGTCTCGCGCTGAGAGTCTCTTGCTTTGTGGGTGGCTGGCTGGCTGGTTGGGATCGGCCGGGCCGTACTCTAGCCAGCGATCGGAGCACTGAAAGTGGTTTCTTGAAAGAACACTTGAAACTCCTCAGTTGCCCAAAGCCGACCTTTTGACTTTTTGGCTTTTCCTTTTTGGTCTAGTTTTAGTCATGGCCCCAAAAGGTTAACCTTTTATTTCTGGGTCCTTTGGGCAAGTGAGACTCACATCTGGTCCAAGGACACAAGTTGACAACATCCAAAAGCGCGACTCCCCACTCCAAAAGGATACCAAAGAGGGATACGTTTCTTTTTGCAGGACAAGCTGTACAAGAAGCAGCAGGGCATTGCCACCGGCCCCATGGTGGTGTTCTATGGCTGTCGTCACGAGGAGGAAGAGCTTTTGTACAAGGACGGTTGGGTCTCGAATACGGATGACATCCACCACCTAGGAAACCTATTCAAGGGACAACAAGGATTCGGCAAATGCCACCTTTGTGGTTTTCGCGCGGCCTCTCGAGGCGAGTCCCTTCTTGCTGTTTTCGCACTTTTCTCCGAAACAACCCAGAAAGATGGGGGGGTTGTGTCAAAGAATTGGCCGGTTCCTTGTTGGACCCTGGTGCCGCCGATACGTGCCGCCTGTTAAAGGGGCAAAAAGAGGAAAGGCGCCCCCATTTTGACCACACACCTTCTGCGCGAACATGGAACTGCAATTTTTGTTGGTCGGTCTGGGACCTCGCCAGGTCCAAGTTCAAGGGAGGCGATTTCTCCGCCACACGTTCTGGTCTTCCTTCCAGCCAACCCTCCGCACCCTCACCCCCAACTACCCCCCCAACTACCCCCCCAACTACCCCCCGAACAACTACCCCCCGACTACCCCCCCCTACCCGACTACCCCCCAAACTACCCCCCCGACCCCACCCCCGACTACCCCCCCGACTACCCCCCCGACTACCCCCCCACCGACTAACCCCCCGACTACCCACCCACTACCCCCCCAACTACGCCCCCCCGACACCCCCCGACTACCCCCCTCAACTACCCCCCCACCCAACTACCCAACTACCCGACTACCCCCCGCCCAACTACCCATCCACGACTGCCCCCGCGACTACCCTCCCGACCCCCCCGACTACCCTCTCGACCCCCCCGACTACCCCCCCCACTAATCCCCGACACCCCGCCAACTACCCCCCTCCCACTCCACCCCCTGCCCCCCCCCCCCCCCCCCTGACTAGTCCTCCCCGACCTCACACTCACACTCACACACACACACTCACACTCACACTCACTCACACCCACACTCACGCCCACACCCACGCGCCCACACCCACGCCCACACCCACGCCGTTCTATCTCTCTCTCTCTTTCTCTCTCTCTCTCTCTCTCTCTCTCTCTCTCTCTCTCTCTCTCTCTCTCTCTCTCTCTCTCTCTCTCTCTCTCTCTCTCTCTCTCTCTTTGTCTCTCCCCCTCTCCCTCGGTCCAGGCAAAAAGGAGCACTCAGAGGAAGTCATTCATTTTCTTGCTTCGTTTGCTTTTCGTCCTTGCATGACTTCTTTGCTTGCTTTCCTTTGAATGCTATCTTTGCACGCGTTCCTTTGGCTCCATTTCTTTAATTGCTTTCTCGACTGGCTTTCCTTTGTTCGGTTTCTTTCCTTGTTTTCTTGCATACCTTCTTTGCTTGCTGTCCTTTGCTCGATTACTTGGCAAGCTCGCTTTGCTGCCTTTCCTTCGCTCGGTTTATTCGTTCTGGCACCTTGTGGGGTGGAGCTTTATGGAGCTTCGTGGGGGTGTCATTGAGTGCTTTTCTGGGCAATTGCCACTGTTCAGCATGGGGTGATGGTGGTTCTGCGGATTGCTGCGTAGGGTTCTGTTTCGTCGGCGGTGTGGTCGTAGGGCTTTCTTTCAGCTGCATTAAAAGGTGCCCCCAACTACCGCCCCCAACTACTACCACCAACAAACTACCACCCAACTGCCACCCCACCCAACTGCCACCCCACCCAACTACCACCCAACCCCACCCAACTGCCACCCCACCCAACTACCACCCCACCCAACTACCACCCCACCCAACTACCACCCCAACTACCACCCCACCCAACTACCACCCCACCCAACTACCACCCCACCCAACTGCCACCCCACCCAACCACCACCCCACCCAACTACCACCCCACCCAACCACCACCCCACCCAACTACCCCACCCAATTACCTACCCCCCCAACTACCCCCCCCCCCATACTCCAAGGTTTCCCCGAGCTGCCGATTTCTTCCGACGTTTGCAAGAGGACGAGTGGCGGATGTACCAGCGCGAGGGGGTGCTCACCAAACTGGTGGGCGCCTTCCAATTCGACAAGCCTCACTACCCCCCCAAGCAGATCTTCGTGTGTTTTGGCCGAAGTTTTGCCGAATGGTCAGGCTATCCTTTGGTGGTTTCGGATTGGTGGAGGGGGGGGAAGCCGACCTGAAAGTCGGGGATTTCCTTTGCCACCTTCCGATAATGGAACCATGCAGTGAAACCGGGGAATTGGACCTTGAGAGGATGTCCTCAAAACGTCCAGAACAGAGGCCTGAAATGCGGAAACTTGCAGGATAGCATTCTGCTTTCCTTTTGGAGAGCCCCTTTTGCAGATTTCATGCGATAGGGAGTCCACCTTAACAAACTGGAAAGTGGGCTTGGAATCCCCTGTAAACCGGACTCTCTGAAAGGGAAGTCAATACTTCTCAAAGGCTTCAAACATGAGAACACGCAAGAGTAGGAAAGGCGTGGTGAAACGACTGGTCAATCACTGCGTCGACTTCACCCCGACTTCCCCCACATTCCGCGTGGTTTGGGCAGGGTTGGCAAGTTCCATTTAACATTCGTTCTTGATTGCATGTTTCGGAATTCTCATCTTCTCCCTGATCAATTTCTGTTGACAAGTTATGACTTTTATAGCACATGCCATGTGACATGCACGAGTAAGAAAGCAAACATCTTTTTGACAGTATGACTATTTGACATGATCATCTCTCTTCGTCGAATATATATGTTTTCTCCCTGTTTTTCTCCTGATTTTTCAGTTGCACTCTCCTTTTTTCCCCGGACCAAACCAAACCCAACAAACCTTCACGTCAGGTCCGACAAGATGGCGGAGCAGCCGGCGCTGATCAGCGACCACCTGCTCAAAGGCGGCTACTTCTTCATGTGCGGCCCGGCGGTGGCCACGCCCTCGGTGCAGAAGGCGCTGAAGGCGTCACTGCTGCAGACGGGCGGCCCAGGCTCCGGGGGGCCTGCGGCGCCCGGGCGGCCCCTTGCGGGGCTCGTTTTTTTTCTTCTTCTTCTTTCGTTGTGGGTGGGGAGCCGCTTTTTGAAAGCGCCGCCTCGTTTGTTTTTGGGGGGAGTGGAGCCGCCGTCGCTTCGCTTCCGCAGTTTCTGGCTGGTGCGATAGGTGGGGAAGGACCCCTTCCGGGTGTTGGGAAGCGAGGGATTCCCCTAAAGGAAGCCACAAATGGATTGTTTATGGGCGTCATTACCTCGTTCCCTGCTGAGAACCAGCATCTTTTTTTGTTGGTGGCGAGCCGCCTTTTGAAAGAGCGGATCGTCGCCGCAAGGTGCTCGGGGAAAGGGCTCTTTTGCATTTGTTTTCTTCTTCCCTCGCGAATTTTCTACTGAAGATGGAGCCAAAGGAGGAAGGAGGTGGTGCTGGAAGGAGATCTAGGAATGCATATTTGGGCTTTTATTATTGCATTTTAGGGTTCACTCAATACGGACCAGAATCTACAGAATACGATTTTGGTTGGCAGACGCCCAAGCAGAAATGGGAATGACCAGAATGGAGAGTCTCTGCCGTCCGGAGGCGCTCCCAAATCCGAGAAGGAGGCGGATCAATGGTTCAAGGCCGGGAAGACGAGCCTCTTTCGAGATCAACATAAGCTCAGGGTTTCCCCGGAACAAAACCACCGGGCCCCCAGCCACAGCAACTCACCAAATGCGAGGTCGTCGATTGCTGGAGGATATTGGGGTGTACCGTGTACGATTCCTACAAGCGGGTGTTTTCCAATTGGGCGTGGCTCAACATATTTTTCTGCTGAAATTACGCAGGTGTTCGTCTACCTTTCTATTCACCAGGCTTCCATTTTGGACCCCCATTTTTGAGCCACACCCAATTTTCCCCCATATGTGTCTGTCTTTCTTCAGGATTCGGCCCCCCAAAGTGGCAGGGTTTTGTTGGTGTCCTTCCCTTAAAAAGTCACTAAAAGGGGTGTGTGTCACCCCTGGCCTCGTGGGGAATCAAGCATCGGCCGGGGCACACACTCACAGTTTGTCCAAGCACCAGGTGAGAGAGCGGGTTTTTCTACCCCAAGTTTATGGTCATTGGGCGGGAATTCAGTCTGAGCTTGGGGTCTTTTTCGAGGGCACAATCATTTGTGGGTCTGTTTTGAGGGGGAATCAAATGGACGCCCCAATTTTGGGGTTGCCCCCATTTTGAAAGACGATCCAAAAGGGCCGTGTTATCCCGAAAGGAGTTCTCTGCCAGCGTGGGTGTTTTAGGTTCTGACTTATGGCCCCTTTGAGCCAGCTCGGGGATCCCCCTGAGAGACAGCTGGTTTGAGATTGGTTGGTTGGTTGGGGAGATGTGGCGTGAGCTCCTTGGAAGTGGTCGAGCTGTGGGGCATGGTGAAAGAGACAATGGATGTTGACCTCGGATTATTACCCCAGTTGATTGACAGGGAAACGGGTGTGCCCTGATAGGGAGAGGGGTCATCACTCTTGGAGGGGAACGCCCCCTAGGACGGGGGAACATTGAAGAAATCGGCCAGTGATGCCCCCCCGAAAAGTGAAGAGTGAAGTCAACCTAAACGTTGACGGATGCATGGTTTTCTTGTTGTGAATGAGCCCCCAATAAGGCATGACCTGGGGTGCATGAATCCTGGGTTCCCATGCAGGCTCGGCATTTGTGATTGAAAGATCTGGACTTCACCTAGCACTGCCACGCCCCTGCAAATGACCCCCAACATCGCCTAAAAGAGGTCGCTGAACCAACTATTTGGGTATGGGTCAAAATCAAAGCACCAGCGGACCGCAGGTTTTTTGTCCTTGTTTCCATGCACCAGGGGGGTTCTATTTTGGCTTTGATAGCCAGTTGGGGTCTTGGCGCATGCATGCAGGACTTCACAGCTGCAGGACGGTACTCGGAGGAGTCCTACTAAGCCCTCGCCCGCTGCGATGCGCACGAGGAGAAAATTGTTCCACATGGCTCGATGCGGCCATGTTTCATTCCCTAAGGGGACGTTCCGTTTCTAACAAAAGGCGCAGCGATGCGCCCATGGAATCATGAGAATTGTGCCATGACCTTTTGCTCTGCCCGGGGTGATGTCGAAGAGGACATCGCCGGGCTCCTGGCTAGGGCTGTTAAATCCACTGGGAGCGGGTCACTGGGACACTGCCTCTTGGCTTTTTTAATCGCACTCCCAGATTTTGGGCGATGGGATGGCAAGTAGCCCGCGTTGCCGAGGCGGACCTCGAACCCTCAGACACGTCCTGACTTGTCTATGGCATGGCAGGACCCTCCAAGTTTCCAACTTGGGTCACTATCACTTCAGAGAGTTCTGTTGAGCGAGGGCTCGAGGCAATCCTGGCGCGGGCAGCGGTGCAAGGGGTGGGGGAATAAGGTCCTTTCCGAAAATCTGCAGGCCAAGTTGGGGACTTCACTCAAAACCAATGGGATTCCATTTTGGGGATAGGTGAATTTACCACCCATTTTAGAACCCATTTTAGTCGCTGGATTGAATCAAATGTTCACGGGGGGTACGATTTGGGTTTGGACCCATGGCCATACGTTTTGTTTATTCAAGGGGGGGGCAAAGTGGTCTGGTTCTCCACATGTCACCTAGAAATGGACACCCCCCAAGTTGGTTGCTTGATTTAGGATCAACATGACCATTTCAACTGCTTAAGTCTCCCATGTCAAGTGGCCGCCCCTGGGGTTTCCTCCGCCCCAGCGCTGAATTCGGAAGGGTGGCCTCCCTCGAAAGGCGCGCCCAGTGCATGGGATTCAGGACGTTGGATCCTGGTTTGGTCATTTGGTCATTCCCCGATGGATCTCAGTTGTCGCAGGCCGCCTGGACTGACAGTGTTTTCCCCATGGTTGCCTGCAGAAGATGGCGACTGGATCCGGTGGGGCTTTGTGCCTTCACATAGCTTGATGCGCGCGTCTTCGCGTCAGTGTTTTGCCCTCCCGTTCCCAGCAACAGCACGTACGTGGCTGCGCTGGTCGACTAGAGCGCAAGTTCTTGCGGAAAGAAAGAAGGCCCCTCGGGCTGCCGGGTTGCGCGACGCCCAAATGGTGCTTGCCAGTGTCCCTTCAAAACCTGCTGCAAGGTCGACGCCCTTTCCATACTGTGGATGGACGAAATCCATCACCTGACAAACCACAGAATGATGATTCCCCTGTAAATACCAACGAACAATGGTTTCAACCATGGTTTTAAAGTGGTGCGGTTTCGGATTTCGGCCATCCATATGATACACTTCACAAACAACACGAAGGCTCCGAGGCCGCACCTGCCCACACCCAAAGCCCAACAAGTCTTGTTCCTGTAAGGCTAGGTCGCCAAGCGTCAGTGTAGGATTTCCCATCGGACAATTACAGCCATGTTGACCCCAAAGTGCAAAACACATCAAGATAGTTGCCTTGGCTTCTTCTTCCCCAACATTCATGTATTGCCGAAGCAATGTAGGAAGTGAACACTGCAACACCCAGTTTGGTGCATAACCACCATACAAGTTTGCGCAGGAATTGACCCTAGTGCCCCCTTGGGCACTTTTTGTGGCATAAGCCTTGGGCAAGTCAATGTAGCGCTTCGTTGCAAACCTGATTGCAATACTTCCGTGTTGTCGGCATGTTTTTAGGTTTTTGTTTCTGTTCAATTTTAGTGGGCTGTAAAAACATGCTTTTTGCTGACGTACCAAGGGTTGTAAAGATTAACCTTTGTAGCCCTCGTTGACGTTTGTACGTTGGGACCCGTCAGCTCAGTTGACACGGCACTGGTTGGTTGGTTGGTTCAAGAGGCAGGGAACGAGTTCTCATTTGAGCCACAATCAAAACCCGGGTAAGTGAAGGTTAGTAAGGGACAATCCCGACCACAAACAGCTGCGGCCGCCTTCTTGATTCTTTACATGGTTCTGGGTCGACCAATTTAATACCGGGTTTTGATTATGAGTCATTTGGAGAATGGCAACGCACTCAAGGGGTGGCTATGGGAAAACTTTGCTGTGATGCAATCAACAGAAATAGGCGTGTTGCTTTTTTGGCGGACTCCCCCCCCACCCCCCAACAGAAAAGGAGACGAAGAAAAGAAGAAAAAACAGAAGGTCACATGTCACAATGTGGTGCTCCTTTGGTTTCCCTTTAAAATCAACCACACAACAGCTGCCCTCAAGAAAACAGACAACATATCTGCATGCGCATGGTCGGGGCAGAGGCCCCCAACCATGACCCATGTTGCCAGACTCACAGCTTTAAACAACCAGTGGGTCTGTCTGCTTTGGAGGGTACCCTAGCCGAAAGAACCGAAGCAAATTGTGTGGGCTATAGAGCTCCAATACATCCCCCCTTTAACTATTAACCCCCGCCTCCTCCCCCAAAAAAAAATCAACAGCAACAGCAACGAGCTATATAGTGCCAACTTCCAATGCATCCCCCCTTTTAACTCCCCCGTCCCCCCCCAGCAAAGAAGCAACGAGCTATGCATCGAGCTATCGTTGCAGGGCCACCCGACGCTGTGAAGCCTGGAGCCGAGTCAGACGTTCCTTTGATGCCTTCTTTTTCGGAAAATGGCGCACAGCTTTTGTTTGTTTCCCTTTGCATTTCAAACACTACCGCACAAAGAGGTACCAAGGCTCAACAAAAGAGAGCGAGACCCGTAAATGGATTTAAAAGGGGCCGTTCAGAGTGCGTTGGAAACGGCTCCTTTGGCCGGTTTTTTTGTTGACGGCGGTTCGAAGGCGATGTGATCCGTCCTTCATACGTATATGTGTTTCTGTATGTATCAACACAATGAGTATTCCCCCGCCAACTGGTGGTTCTGCCTTCGGTGTTCCTGAAGCAAAGGGCGCTCCAAAGACCCCCAGGCAAAATTTATCCCTCTGTTAGAAGGCATCTATTGAAAGGAAGGAAAAGGGGGGAAGGAGAAGGGGGGAAGGAGAAGGGCTTATGCCACATGCTCGGCACTGAAGGTATAGCGCGTTGATGTACAACCTGAAGGTTCTGCACGGGGTCTGTGGTAAGTCAGTTTTTGATTAGTCTCAAGGTGTTTTTCCCCATCGGGACTCGCATAAATTTGTTTGCGCAAATCATGGCGAGCTCAGCCAAGAAGCCGTCTTTGCAGGGATTCTTGGGAGGCCGGGGATAAACCACAGTGCATTTTCCTACTAGTGTTCCCCCCTGTGAAATTGGTTATACACCAATTCATGTATCCTTTGGCTATCCTGTACCGCATCGCTGTCCTTGGAATGCGGAATGGGCGCTCGGATACGCCGCCTCCGAGGACAGTTTGAAGACGGGAAAAGCCGAGGAGAGGTCGAAATACTGCGAGCGTGAATCTTTTAGACGCCAGGCCGTTTGGGCTTTACATGACTTCCTTCGGTTGCTTGCCATGGTAACTGGAAACGCTGGGTGGGAATGCGTCTCCCAAGTATGGGAAACTGGTTCTCCACTGTTAGTGGCTCCACTGAAACCGCTGGGGGATGGGCTCAAGCCATCTACTTCCAAACGTTGCCCGATTCAAGTTTGCAACCCCTTCAAATGGCCCGCGGAGCTGCAATCTTTGATCCTCCAAGGAGAAATACGGGCTTGTCTCAGCCCTTTTCAACCCCCCCAAGAAAAATGGTTGGTTTCCCCCTCCCTTGATTTCCTTTTTAACCCAGTGTTTGGGAGGAAACACATCTACCAGAGACATAGAGTCGGGTTCCTCATCCGCAACTTTTTTTTGAGTGCAGATTGAGGCAACAGCTTTGTTTTAGTTGCTCGGGGTAGGGTAGACCAAGCATGAGGCAGAATCAGAAGATGTGTGTTTTCCGTGTAGCTCTTTTTGTGGGCCCAGCTTTGGCCGTCAAGGGTTACTGCGCGAGAAACCTGCCCTGCCAGGAGATGTGCGCCAACCGCTTTGTGACCAACCTGATCCAGGACATTTTGTGTGGACCAAAACCGCTTAAACGACCAGTTGGTAGGTGATGGATCCTAGCATTTCTGGGTTTAGGACAATTTGGTTTTTATCAGTAACGTGCTTGTTCTGGGCTGGTTTAAAAAGGGTTTTCCAAAAGGAAGCCAGCATAGGTGTCCTTTTGGGTTTTACTCTTAGGGAAGCTACTTGCATGCTGACGAGTTTTACCTGACAGCTATTGGGACACGGATCTAGACCAGCTTTTTGGCTGAAATCAGGTTGGTTTCCCCATTGACCCCACAACAACTTCGCTGTTCTTGGCATGTTTTTAGTTTTTTGGTTCTGTTCACTTTTACTGGGGGTCTGCAAAAAAACAAAGTTTTTTGCTACCATACCAAGAGTAGAGATGACAAGGTGAATAACTTTTTGAGGGGTCGGATCCAGCCAAGTTTAGGTGCGCTTTCTGGAGGCTTGATGGAAAATTGGAGCAGTGTCAACTGCTCCACTTGGTTCGAAGTTCCTTTGCTAGTGGACGGGGAAACCCCGGGCTCCAGGGTTCCCTTTTTGAGTGGCACCGCTGGGAAACTGATCGACTTGTTTGGGGAAATCCGGTGATTTCTGATGAAGTCCCTATCTTCCCCAAACGGAGAGAACACATTCAGGCGTCTTGTTGGGTCCTGCTTGGGCATGCCTAGGACGCACTGACTCAAGATGTCAAAACCTCCGAAGAAGCGACTTGGCTGGACAGTGGATTTCCTCTGGCTTGCTCCATCATCAACTGCCTCTGTGTGGTGTAAATAAGTAACCCTGGTTAAAGAGGTCACCAAATTTCTGCGAGAAAAATGCACAGAATGGTTGGCTTTGGGTTCCCTCACGGTCTGCTTATTGTTTTGGATTTCCGTTGGTTTCCTGGCTCTGATCTTTCGAGTTTCGTGTGGGTTTGGAAGCGTTTAGTCTCGGGAATGTTTCATGCTCTCCTTGTATGGGTAAGATTTATCAACCGTTTTTTTGCACTAGGTGCTCGAGTGCTCCCCCAAACAAGACCTGGGTGCGTCCTTGTTTAAAGGTACCCTTGGTGGGTGGTTTGAAAGGGTACCCTTGGTGGGTGGTTTGAAAGGGTACCCTTGGTGGGTGGTTTGAAAGGAACACTTGAAGGACATCCATGTTTGTTTGTTTCTTGGAGTGGGGGGGGGGGGTCCCCTAGAAAAAGGCACACCGAATGGCCCCCCCTCCAAATATACATACATACATACATACATACATACATACATACATACATACATACATACATACATACATACATACATACATACATACATACATACATACATTACATACATACATACATACATACATACATACATACATACATACATACATACATACATACATACATACATACATACATACATACATACATACATACATACATACATACATACATACATACATACATACATACATACATACATACATACATACATAATATTTATATATATATGTATAATAAATATATATATATAGATATATGTGTGCAAAATATACATATATATATATATGTAGAATACATATAT